ACACAGGGAAATGGCCACATGGGTACTACAGTGATACTCAACAGAGGCTTACAACAAAAGGTAAGAGTTAAAATTATGATAGGAAATGTCCTATATGCTGTATGAAAAATTAAGTGCATACTATCTAAGAATCCAGTCCAATATGATTAAAACTAACCCTGCCTAAAAGATTCAGGTTTGGACCTGGGAGGTTAGAGAGGGTGTTGCAATGCAAAAGTATTTCTCTGTTAACATAAAACATGGTTTGATCATTTGCCCTGGAGCGGCCCTCTAGCTTTGGTACTGTACATGTAAACCAGCATCGTGTTCAAAATGCTTAAGTCAGCATGTTAAAGAGTTTTCTTCAAACTTGCTGAGTTTGCTGAGTTTGTGGATCTGCCTTAATTTCCAACCCAATAACAGGAGGTAAATTGTTGTTCCATATTGCACCTGATAAGAATAATTCTCAACTCTGAAAATTACCTAAGACCTATTACCGTCTCAACTTGGAGACTACCTGTCCTAATCTGCACCAGCAAGAAGAATTTTTACACATTTTTTCTAGTAAGTAAACAAACATGAAAATTGCCCCAGATGCAATAGATGCGCTATTCCATCCACAGCCATAGATTGTGGTAATTAAAAAAACTAAGATGGTGCAGAGGGGAATTGTATACTAGAGATTAAAATTCAACAAATGAGATCATGAAATCCACTGGATATCTGATGTCTCCAATGCTTGCTGTTTAATTTTCAAGAGGATCTTGTTGAGTGAAGGTGTTATACCCACTAATCTCCACTAGATAATGCTATTTCACTATGACAAAAACTTCACAGTGAACAGCAACACTCCATTTTGTTTGAGAACGAAATTGCGATGAATCTGTTCTTTCTTTGAAGGCACAGAGAAGTGGCCATATAACACAGGAGCAGAGTTGGGAATTACTCTCAACTGACAGCTAATCTTTTAATAATCTATCTCTGTAAGTCTTTAATGATACATGTATTGTATATGGTCATAAAATGTCAGAATGGGTCTCTAACCACTGTGCTGAAATTAGAAGCTACAGATGCCAGTCAATAAGCTTCTGGGTGAGTTGTTACACTTACACAAAAAGAGCTTTTTCAAACCAGTCTTCACATAAAAAGAGGAATTCTCCCTGCATTTACCCTAATTTAATGTTGTAGGTGTCACAGCAATGTCAAGAACAACAACACCATAAAATAACAACTACACATAGCACTGACTGTGATGTGTTGCACTAAAGAATTATAGAAAGTAAATACATGTATAAGTCTTAACATTTTTAAACGCTGTCAGCATAATTCAAGCTGTAACACTCTGTACCAAGTTTGTCAGCACTTCCTCCACTGTGAAGTCAATACAGTTTATCTCCAAGGTGTGAGGCACTGGGGACTGCATGAGCGCAATAATAATATATGTGTCATGACTTTTTCTCACAGTCATAAAGAGGAAATATCATTTTGCACCTATTGTTGCAGCGTTCAGTACAGGGGAGCAGGGTGCTCTGCACCGCATTCAGAAACACATTCGGGGTTATTGTTGTCACTTTGACGACACTCAACATCCGTTCACATGAAAAACATTCTAAATGTTTTAAGATAAACTGTGAATCAAACTTTAAAATCAACTGATAACACTTTGCTATTAATCAGTGTTGATCTACAGCAATGTGAGAAAAAGTTTTTAGCACAATCTCACAGAGTTCTCATTTTAGTATGCAATCTTATGAGTTACTATGAACAAGATTTAATGTTTTGAACAACAATATACCATTAACCCGCAGGAGGATGTCCGTTAAGATTAAAGTAATCTTAACAAGCTTAAATTCAGCTGGAGTGAAATGTACTGCTCTGCTTCTCTTCTCTTGTGAAACATCTGTCTGTAGCTGTCACAGAACATTATTTTATTTTAGGCAAGTATAACAATCTTTATTTTTTTATTCTTACTGGGCAGGGGCCTTTGTAAAAGAAAGGAAGTAGAAGGCAAAAAAGGGAAATGGAAATTTGACATGAAACATTTTTTTATTGTTTTACATATTATACAGCTTCCAACAGAAGGAAAGTCACACAGGGACAAATAGGAAAGACGAAAGGTAGTTTGACATTCTGTCTTTATTTTACTGTTTTGGCTATCTCTTTCTCTCTGCCTCTAACGAGAACTGCACAGTGGGCAGACAGGATCTAACAGCTCCACCAACACCCATATGTGGTTCCTGAACTAAAACCACAGGCTTAACCATGAACCTCCTGTCGAGTGAATGTTTCACACATGGTGTGGTAGAGCAGCATTTTCCAGTGTGTGCCATCGAGTTGATCCCAAAATATTTTCACTGGCTTTTCAAAAATGTTTCAAGTTTGGTAGACCTAAACTGCTGGTGCAAGAGGAAGTAATTATAAAATATTATAGCCATTATCACTTTTACTGGCCAAGTAAAATTGCATAAGGAAGGACTTTATCTATTATTAACATTATTCTGCACTGCAGCAGCTGTAACTATTACAGTGTGATAGCTGTGGAAATATTTGTTAATGCACTTAAGACTGCAGCTTTCTTGACTAAGTCTCAGTCATCGATGTAAGACAGAAACAGTGGTTAGACGAGAGTGCTCAGTCTCCACTCTGACCTTTTTGTTCAGAGTTTGTCAGGAAGTTGTAGAGACAGCTGGGCCTCATTGTGGGCCCTCCTCATTGTTTGAGAATTCAGAAAGAAACTAAACCAAAACAAAAGCACAACCAACACAAAACCTCCAAAACTCTATTTGCACATTATTTTGGTATGGGCAGGAAGAAGGTCATGAGATAACAGGATAAGCCCTGGATGTTTGCCATGATCATATTGACTATTCACTTTTTGAAAAAGAAGCCAGGATTAAACTGTAGAAGGACACAACTGTGGAACACATTCATTATTTGAGTTCAGAGTATGTACAGAGAAGATCTCTGGGATGTGGGCTCTGACCTCATCATTCATCATGCAATGATTCACCAAGTTCAGAGCAGCATTGACCCGGGGAGTGACCACAATACTCCCCCCCCAAAAGATTCATTATTCACAGAGTCTGACCATGATTTTAATGTGGAATCTATGTCTGGGCCAGTGGCATCCATTGCTGCTCAGTTAAAATAGGCCACAGAGTAGAGTACATTTCTTTAATATTTGTCATTCCTTTTCAGTCACTTCTAATAATACCGCAAATAAACTGCATTTTGCTGTCTTTATATAAGACTTGCATACTTACAATTAATCATTTGATATTGATTCATTGTGAAAAGAGCACAGTACCATGTATTTTATCTGTGGCACTTTAAGTCTGTGTGCTACAGTGAAAAGGTCCCTGTTTGAGGTGTGTCAGTTCAAATTCCACTATTTGTTCTTTGTGCAGAAAATTTATATTGTCTTTAAAAAATGGCGCTTGGTGTCATTTCTGTTGCTTTCTGTTGTTTCCCATCTTCACACTCTGCTTTTTAAATCAGTCTGTACTCTATTTTTGTTTTCGACTCATCCTCTAATATCTACTCAACCCAACAGCCACAATACAGCTACACAGAGACCAAGGTGAAGGAATGAAAGCTACATTACTTTATTAAAACTGTCACAGATACTCACATGTATCCACATGGTCAGTAAATGTTGTTTTATGGTTGGAAAAATAGATCTAATGTAAGCTCTTCGTGTCTTATAGTAATATCTCAGACCAGACTTTATTCCATAATATAATATATAATATAATTCCTATATATATATATGTAATAATACATAATATCTACTACTGTTAAATTTATCCCTAATTTGGATGGAGTGTATACCAGATGACTTAGTCATTTGTTTTAAAAATAGATTAATCTCCAAGCCTATTTACAGACAGGGTTTTTTTTTTTCCACAGGTCATGCTAACGTCAGTACATTTCAGGGTCCCCTGTGAGCATGCTCTGTGGCACAGCTGTGCACTGCCAGTCCCTGAAGGCCTGTGATCTGTCACCTCCATGTCCCCACGCCGTCCTCAAAGCCCAAAGCCCTCCTCATTGTTTAGAAGTGTGAAATAACGCAACAACCACCCTGCTTGTCAGTGTGCATTGAGACTGGTGCTGGAAAAAAGAAAGGTTGCTGAAAAGTTTATTTTGTTCCATTAGCCTGATCTTCTAGACGCCTACAATGTGTCACATTTCCGTACATTTTGAATGCTCAGTACATCACCCACAGGACTGCATAAGTGACAGGGGTTTCACCTTGTGATGCATGATGCATCAAAAATGTATAAATAACATAGGAACATCATGTTCCTTTATACAACAGTGTCACTCAGTTAGACACACCGCATTCAATTGACAGGCACTTTCTAAAACTTATGATAAAGTCTGTGTTTTTTTGTTGTTGTTCCTCAAGCATCAATCTTTTATTGCAAAGCTTTTATTGAATAGAAGTACAGTAGGTCTGCCTTCAGGGAATGGGGAAATATATATATAAATATATATATACTTCACTGTTCTTTGTTCATTCTTTTCAAATGAAGCTCAAAATTGTTACCATTGTTACATTGTCTCAGGTTGATGCAGTCAGAGGCAGAAGCCATATATATGTCATCGCCATAGTTAGCAGGCTGTGTGCTAACACTCCATCTATGGGAGGGTACACCAGCCAACAGGACTCTGTAAAACAATGACCATTCTCACAGGCTAAACTCCTCTTGACCCTCTCTCTGTCACCTTACCACCGAGTCCAACACAGTGGAAAGATACAGCAAAATAAGCAAAGATAGAGAGAGACATAAATCTCATATACTGTTATGTAAGGATTGACTTAATAAGAGAAATTCCTGAAAAATAGTTGCTGAATGCACTCTCCTCCAAAAAACATTCTACTGCACTCTACTGTGCTACTGCAATAACCTCTGTGGGTGTAATTCAGAGAGAGAGGGAAACCCCTCCCCTCTTGTCATCACAGTATGTCAACTCAGCAGTGAGAGCAGATGAAGATTCAAAGGGGAGAGGGAGACACAGACAGAGACAGAGAGAGAAAGGAGAGCTCTTTGCATGAGATAAGAGACTACTGATTCCTTCTTTTTTATATATTTTATTTGCTGGTATCAGCATCTAGTGTATCCACTTTTTCCACGAGTCACACAGACAGCTGAGGCAACTCTGGAAAAAGTTGAGAAGAGAGGAGAAGAGAAGAGAAGAGAAGAGCTGGACCATTTGACTGTGGAGAGTCCCCACGTTTATCTTTTGGTCGTTTTAACTTTCCTTACACTGATCTGGACTGTCTTTCCCTCTCCACCATGGCAGGCAGGTGGAACATCCTGATACTGGGTGAGTCACATCTGTCAACCATTTGCAAATGGAAAATCATCTGTTGTGAGAAAGCTTAAAAATGTTCTGTACTCGTAGAAAGGAAACCAACTGGCCGCAGTAGCCTACAAGCTTATGTCAATTTATGTTTCTGTATTTATTTTAAGATGAAATTTCAGACAAAGTATAGTAGCTATTAAGGACACTATATATATTAAAAAAAAAAAAATAGATTAACGACTACTAATAGTTAAGTCAAGTCGATTTTATATAATAACATCTATTTCTAAATTCCATGTTTTATCACTTTGTTGTATCACCACTGAGATAAAATCTGCCAGCAACTTATCTAAGCTTGAAGTCTGGGTGTTAGCATGAGAAAGTGTAATACCGAGCACAGCAGCGTTTTTCTTTCCAGGCACTTTTTCACAGAAAACCTCTGTTCTTCTGCTTTTAAAGTGATATTTATACACTCTGACCTCACACAGTTGTCTCCCAATAGTTACCATAGTTACACACATCTGTCTTCAGAGGAGGAAACACTATGTGTTGCCATGGTACAAAATAACAACACTGCAATTCACTGAAATATTTTAGAATGTCAGAATCACAAGCCGTTTTGTGGTTTGTTTGTTTGTTTGTTTGTTTTTTGTTTGTTTGTTTTCCTGGATTTAAATAAATCAGTTTACATAGTAATAATAATAATAATAATAATAATAATAATAATAATAATAACTTTAATTATATAGCATTTTTCAAAACAAAGTTACAAAGTGCTGTAAAAACATAAAAACAAAACAATAAAAGACACAGAGAAGAGAGGCAATGTGTAGTGCATAAGTACGTGTGTTAAAACAATGAGATCAATAGAGCAACAAAAGAAAATAAAACCAAAAGTAAGGACCAATGTTAAAATTTAAATCAAGAATTAAAAGCTGCTTTATACAAGTGTGTTTTGAGTAGTGATTTGAACAGGTGCAACGACTCAGCACGCCTGACCACACATCATGAGTTCAGCTGTGCAGAGAGCAAAACAAATTATCTGACAACCCTTAAATACATTAGTTCTACATTATGTCAATGAGTTCCTCCATAAGTTACTCTTTATGTTCTCCTTATGTTAGTTATTATATGATCAGTTACGAAAATCACCAGAAACATGCTGTACATTCCATTTAGCTCTCATATCAACAGTGTCAAGGTGACCATTTTTACAAGGAAAAAAACTAAAGGTAAAACAAATAGTGAAAATGTTAAAAAAAACAATTTGACAGCTGATGCCTGAGCAGCAAACATCTCTAAATATAAACAAATAAAACCAACTTTCTTCAGTAACTGTACTTAATTCAATATATAGATGAATGATATAAAAGATTATGTAACTGCACTTTCTTCCTGTTTTCACATATATTCAAACATCTGGTGTCATTCTGGCAACCACTGAGGAATGACTTTGCACTCAGGCTATTTTGTGTTTGCACAATGCCGACTGATGCTCCCTCACTCATAGGAAGCAGAGTTCTCCAGGCACCCTTACGTTGTTGGTTTTGATTTTTGAATGGTGCAGATGCTGTTGGAACAATCTCAGGAAATGAGACAAGAGAATGAGGGCATTTACCTTTTCTGCAGAGTATTTTTTAAACTCTGTGTGGTCAAATGATGTGGTCAAACGGATCCTAATGCCCCTGCAGCTACACAGTCATAGAGTTAGTGTCGATTAAATGGGTACTCGTGTAGTAGATGTTGCAATAATGTTCAGAAGGTGATGAGCTGACTGTTGCCTGCTTACTTTTTCAGCTCTGTGCTTCTTTCTCATCATGGTGCGGTCAAAACCATCCTGTGAAGAAGGATACAGTCGTGAGAACAAAAGATGCGTCGGTATGAAAAACAAATTTATCTTCACACATAGCCTGCCATTTTATGGCATTTGTCACAGGTTGCTCATCTTTGCATTCAGAAATTAGAAATATAGGCTATAACATGGTTTGCTGAATGATTTCTGTGCAAGATCACGTATAAAAATTGAAAAAAAAAACTTTCTGCTTTAAAAAGAGACTGCTGCAATATTTAGGTTTAGATCAATCTAAAATATATATTTCATTCAAGCACTTAGTTATGGGACATCCATCCTTTTCATATCCCTGTTTCCTTAAGATTATGATGAATGTAAAGTTGTTGAAGACTATCCTGATCATGGGCGGTGTGGAGAGGATGCAAAATGTTTCAACACGAATGGCAGCTACTACTGCCAATGTGCTGATGGCTTCAGATCAACAATGAATGTGACGTTTACAGCTGATTCACCTGCACAATGTAAAGGTAAGTCATCTTTAATATTGAATGGCAGATTCTCTGATTCATATTTGCAGTCCTTATTTAGATATGAAAACTCTGTCATTCATGTTTTGCTTTAAGATATCAACGAGTGTTTGGAAGAAGAAAACCTCTGTGGACCTAATGCTGCCTGTTCTAACACAAATCCATATTACTCCTGCATTTGTAAGGCTGGATTCATCTCCAGTACTGGAGTGGAAAGTTTTCGTCATGGTGACAATGTCACATGTGGAGGTGAGATGCTTATCAGTGTGAGTGTTGTGCTGCAGGGATACAATATGTGATTAGTGTGTCTCTCTATGTGGTTATGGGGAGAAAACACTGATAACGGTTTCCGCTCTCAGCTGTTCTTAAATGTCTTCTTCCTCTTCATATAGATGTTGATGAATGTCTGCATGAAAATGTGTGCGTTCAGAATGCATCATGCGTCAACACACCAGGCAGTTATCACTGTGTCAACATATCTGGCTTTCAACTGAAATCTGGCAAATCTAACTTCTCTGGGAATCAGGAACAAGGTGAAGATAAGGGCTGTGACATGATATGAAATGAGTCTTATGTTGTTATAATAATATAATAATATATATTTAATGAATAACTAAGCAAAAGTGGAGCATAATTGAACCAAGATTAAAAATTAAAAATTGATTTTAGGTCTGTTAGTTGATCGTTAATACTTATTTAAAACTTGTCTGGTAATAAATGCAGGTCGGTTTAGTGAGTCCTCTGTTTTACCTCTATCTGGCCTGCTTTGTGTTTTTCATTTGATATATTATCTGTAAAAAATACTATCACGGACCATTTTGGATATGAACGTTTGAGTGGACCAGGATATTTATTGTTCCATCAGTACTGACTGAAACACACAGTGCAACCATTTTCCTCTCCATGATTAGTTTCCATTTCAGATATTTGTGTGATTGATAAGACAATCTGTGGAAATGGAACCTGCCACCGTGGAGCCAGCGGCCATTACTGTGTATGCCACGCAGGCTTCACTAACTATGGCAGAAATGAGTCTCGCTGCACTGGTAAGAACACAGCAGCACCCAACTTTTTCAAACATCTATTGCTGCACCAGAGTTTGTTCAGTAAATATATAAACATGAGTATAGGTATCCTCATGATATGAATCCTATGGTCATCAGCAAGCTCATTTAATGAATCAAACTTGTTTCCTCAGCATTAGAGTGTGATGTATTCAAAGATATGAGCGGTCTGACAGAGGTAACTCCACACCAGAAAATGTTTTATCAACAAATATTCAAACATATATTTAAAACGTCTGTTGTCTCATACTTATGTCACATTTTCCCCAAATCGCCCTCCAAGAAATTTCCAGTTGCACGTGATCTCATGGCGCAGTTGAAGGAGAGCTGTCTGCAACTTACAGAGAGTGAAAGTCCAGCAGAGCTTTATGGAGAGGACCTACTAAAGGTATGTCTGCGGTATTATTATGATTACAATTATAACAACAATTATACATTTATACATTTATATTAGGCAAAATCTCCCAGAGCCTCATAACCAGCACATAAACAGGAAGTTCTGCTCCCTTCAAGCTCTGTCACATGGCGTTCAGATGTCCGTGCACAACCTTGTAGACTGTTTATGTTGACCTGAGGTGGTATGCAGCCTGAAAGTCTGACTCGGTCTGACTCTGTCTCCTGTTTCTCCCTGCACATGCTTATGTTTCTCCCACGCTGTCCCTCCTCTCCTGTGGCTGCAGAGACTGTTGTCTATGATTGACGAGCTCTTGTCCGGCAGACCTTTCAATGATAACAGGAAAGTCTCCACCTTTCTGGACATAGTGGAGAACGCTGTGAGGATGATAGGACCCTTCACAGAGATCCCAGGAAAAAAGATATCCTCCACTCACACAGGTTAAATTGAAATATATAATGAAGCAGTTGTTGTTGTTTTTTCTTTTAATTTGCCCCCCCCCCCATTCTAAAAAACATGTACAATTCATTTACAAAAACAATTTGGTCTCTCAAGAGGTTTACTCTTCTTCAGATGTAATCTTTTTTTGGTAGATTTCTCTTTTGCTGAAATCTTTGCTGAAGACATGCAATGCATGTTCATAAATAGCTGATCTTTGTATCTGGGTCCAGAGTTGGAGCTGCTGGTCCATAAGGGAGCTGACTTACCCAAGGGGGCTGTGACTGTTTCATCTCAGCGAGCTAAGATGGACATCCAGCTGGAGACAGCTGCAGGAGACCCCTCCTCTAACCCTGGTAATGATCCTTCCTAATTTTCTAAATTCCTCATGAACGGAAAGATCTGAATGTAATGAATGTTGACTTAATCGAGTGTTATCCTGCTATGACTGGGACAGGCTTTACGATGGTGTCCTTGCTGACCTATGCAAACCTGGAAGACTCTGCAAAAGGCTTCTTTGGTGGGATGAAACCAAAGAAGAACGAAAGCTTTCAGATCAACTCCAAAGTGGTGACTGTCACCGTCAGTAACAGAAACACAAGTCACCTCAAAGAGCCCATCAACATGACTTTCTACCATCTGCATGAGGTAAAGAGGAAAGACTATATAATGACAAGACAAATATTACATCTTATTTCCATTTAAATTGGTCTATTCCTTTCTTTTACAGTCAAATGAAAGCCACACCTGTGTGTTCTGGGATTCCTCAGAGAAAGGAGGGACATGGTCCACTCGTGGCTGCAGAGTATTGGAGTCCAACCCTGAATACACTGTGTGTTCCTGCACCCATCTGAGCAGCTTTGCCGTGCTCATGGCACTCTATGACATACAGGTAAAAACTCTCAGTCGCATTCATGATAATACATAGCATATCATGACTCTCACAGTTGAGAGTCTACAGATGAAACTTCAGTCTATTTCTGTGTACAATAAGGTAACCCTTCTGTCTCTCTCTCTCTCTCTCTCTCTCTCTCTCTCTCTGTCCCAATAGAACAAGTTTGAGTTGCAGCTGATCAGCTGGGTGGGTCTGTCCCTTTCACTCATCTGCCTCTTCATCTGCATCCTGACGTTTTCTTTCATCCGCTCCATCAAAAGCACAAGAACCACCATCCACCTGCACCTCTGCATCAGCCTCTTCATTGCCATGCTTATCTTCCTTGCAGGCATCTCCCGTACAGAGAACCGGGTAAATACTCTAACAGCTTGTGTAGTCAAAAATTCATTCCTGCACTGTCCAGGCGAGTGCAGGAAAAGTTTTCGACACTTTCACAGGAATAGATGCAGAGTAACAACAAAAATACTGAATGATTTATGTGCGTGCTGAAGATTCATAAACAGCAATTCAGAAAGTAGTTTCTCCCTATTTCTTTCTCCCCATTCTGCAGCATCCTTTGTCCTTTTTTTTTTTCTCCACTGCTGTCATCCTCATCTCTCTCCCTCCTGCGTTAGGTTGGCTGTGCAGTGGTTGCAGGGCTGCTGCATTTCTTCTTCCTGGCAGCATTTTGCTGGATGTGTCTGGAGGGCATCCAACTTTTCAGGATGGTAGTCCTGGTCTTTAACACCAACTTCAAAACCCTACACATGATGGCAGGTGGCTATGGAGTCCCAGCTGTAATTGTCGCTATCTCTGCCTCAGTTAACGCTAAAGGATATGGCACTGAGAGATAGTAGGTTTCTTGTCCTGATGCTGATCTTGTTTTATTTTTAATTCAAGATTGAATCGCAGTTTATGTTGACATAGTCTGCTAAGTAAACTCTCAATATGCATTGCAGTTGTTGGTTAAACCTGGATTCCATTTGGAGTTTCTTTGGCCCTGTCTGTTTCATCATCATTGTAAGTAAGAAAATCACTGAGTTGAATACAGTAATATTCCTAAAATTGACTCCGGTGCCTTTTTAACACAAAAAAAAACCTTCCTTTACCTTTCAGGTGAACATCTTCTTCTTTCTCATCACTGTCTGGAAGTTGGCACAGAAGTTCTCAAGTTTAAATCCTGACCTGGATAAGTTGCAGAAAATAAGGTAAGTCAGCAGTTACCCACAAGCTACCGGCTACAATCAGGCACACGTATATTGTTTATGTATGTATGGACATGCTGTTTCTGTGTGAGTCAAGTATTTCCTATGCAGAAATGCACATTTTCTGTATCACTGACTCCCCCACTAAAGAGAAAGAAAAAGCTCTCTCCTGTGTATGAGTACGGATGTGCCTCAGATTTGGCCCATATGTACCTTTGTTGCCTCCTGCAGGGCATTCACTGTAACTGCAGTGGCTCAGCTCTGTGTGCTGGGCACCATGTGGATCTTTGGATGTTTCCAGTTTGAGGAGGGCACCATAGCCATGTCTTACCTGTTCACCATCCTAGGCAGCCTTCAGGGGGTTATGCTCTTCATCATGCACTGCCTGTTTTCTAAGCAGGTCGGTGATGCCTCTCGTCAAAATAAAGAACAAGAACTTTTCCTGGTGTCAAAACTCGTATTCTAATTCGTATTCTGGTTTAAGGTGAGGGAAGAATATGGAAACATCCTGTCGAAATTCTGTGCACCTCGGAGGAAGACCTACTCAGAGTTCGGCTACTCCCACTCCGGCAAAACTCATGTAAGCTGTTATGTATAAATTTCTCTGATTATGAGTCTGATTATGAGCCAATAATTGCAACATAGGAATGTGTGGAATTAAATGTCAGCATAGTTTAACGTTTGTAACATTTGTAATGAGATTGATGAAGAGACTTAATGAGGTTAATTCATTGGTTGTTCAGTTTTGGACAGCTTCCAAATGCAAACACACAATTCTTGTCCAGGGTTTGAAAATGACAAGGTATTATAGGAGCCAAGCCTTGTCTGGTAATGAAAGTGTGCTCTCAGTGTCTGTTGTGACTCATCTGACCCCCCACCCCCCCCCACCCCCCACCCTCTGTCATCCTCAGGCAACCAAGAGCAGCCAGGACACCGGAGAGTCTCACATCTGAGGAGCCTACAGTGACTTTGGAGCAAAGCATAACTCGTTTCCTGAAGACTGCTGTCTCACATACACAGCCAACTGCTGCACTCCCATTTGTGGCCAATGCACCCTTTTGCTTTACTGCAAAATGTTGTAAACAGCATTATCACAAGCTGGTCTTTGTATTTTTATGCTGTAGAAAAGGAACTGTTGGTTGTTAATTTAATACGAATTAATGATTTCCTTCAAAATGAGAAAATGACATTTGTCAGTGAGTTTTACCATAATACAGATTATTTTGTCATATGTAAGCAAAGCTGTTAACATGACCCATGAGTATTTGTCAAATGGTAAACAATGTCACTCATTTCAGAAAAAGAAATCTCCAAATGTTTCGATTTTTCACATGTGAATTTTTTTTTTTTATTGATATTGGACCAAAATATCAAAATGACAGATGATATGAAAAAAGACCTGTTTTATCAGGTAAATCTAATATAACTTAGTGGTGTCATCCAGGTACTTAATTCAACCAACAAAGACAATCTGAGTGATATTTTTAAGAGACAAGCACTTTCTTTTTATCCACAGTATTTAAATTGTTACCATGAGCAAAAAAAAGGAAAAAGGAGGACAATAGTGATAAAGAGATGGATTTTAAATATATGTTTGTGTATATATTGCTGGGTAATTCAATATATTTTAATATTTGACTGCATTCCTGCTCCATTCAGCATACTGTAACATCTTTAATGTATCTAGATATTTGAAAAGATTTTTTTATTTACTATGCTAAAATAGGTTTCAAAACTTGAATTTTCCCTTTTGTTATTATTGTTTATCGCACGTTTGGAATTTCTGATTGATGCTTATTGACTTATTATACTTATTAACATTTTCTGTCTTTCACAGTGTGAATTAATAATGGTGTCTGTGTGTGTGTGTGTGTGTGTGTGTGTGTGTGTGTGTGTGTGTGTGTGTGTGTGTGTGTGTGCGTGCGTGTGTGCGTGTGTGTGTGTGTGCATGTGTGCGTGCATGTGTGTGCGTGTGTGTGTGTGTGTGTGTTTGCGTGTGCATTTTAATATTTCTCATGCCTCTCTTGGAAGCTGGAATTATTTTATTTAAAATAAAGTTACTTTTGAACAGCTGAGAGACAAATCATTTTTCTTTAAAGTTCATTATGTAAGGGACCTTTTGCTCAAGAATAGCAACAACAAGACATCAACAAAAAAGTAATGAATGCAATATTTCCTTCCTTTCTTTCCACCTTCACATCTCCCTCGCCGTTTCAAAGCTCTTTGCTCACTGCTGGAGCACTTATCTGGCCAGTTCACATGAAAGATAGAAAGAGTTGTACATACTGAGGAAATGGAAGTGTTTCTCCTCTTCCTTCCTGTTTATGTCAGATCACAGGAACGATGGCTTCAAAAACTAATCGGTACTTGAATTTTAACAACCAAACAAACCTTAAGTAGCCCTGAAAACATGTCTTACTGTATAAAACATTTATACAGTAAATGTATAAACATTAATAAACTTTGGTAGCATTAATGTTGATGCATCTTTTGGTTTCTGGCTCCTGGTTTTTATATTTAATATATTCTAATGTATCCATCTGGATGATGTTCAGCATGGGATCCAAGTATTTTATTCTTGCAAACAAGATCCAACAAGTGTAGCAGAAACCCTTCAGGCATCTAATAATCATCATGCACTTCCAAACTCCTCTGATGTCTGTCTCTGTGCATCATGCCCCCTGTTATCTGTGTGTTTGGAGGGAATTATCATAAAGAATTAAAACACATTGGCGACAACTGACTTTGGATACGGCTGTTCCATCTAACACCGGATCAATATTACAAAATGAAAGCAATAACCTGAGATCACTTAAGGTTCAAAGCATCAGCAGAGGAGATGGATAGAAAGGAGGAAGGCAACCAGAGAGGGGAAGGAGGAAGGAAAATGCAGGTCTAGCATGTGGAGATAAAATCGCTGCCAAGCCTCTGGAGAGAGAGAGAGAGAGAGAGAGAGAGAGAGAGAGAGAGAAAACCCTAACCCAGGAGAAAGAGAAACTGTCAGAGAGGCATGGGAAAAGAAAGGAAGGAGGGTGAGAGTAAGTGATTTTGGACAAAAGTGATGAATGAATGAGGCGAATCACACAGCTCTGCAGACAAGTGAGACAGTTATTTATTCTGAGCCAAAACAAATTATTCTAGAGTTCATCTGGAGTCATCCGGAGGTAAGTTTCATTTATTATTCATAACCAGTTAATGGTAATAGTAATTCACTTCATAGATAAAATACTCAAAATACTTAAAATATAAGAAGCTATTTAATATGTAAGAAAGACTAGTGCATGGCTAAAGAGATGGATCTCTAAGAAAGCTGGGATTCTTCATTAAGTTCATGTATTTAATCCACTTTTATTATGAATGAGAAATGTGATGAGTTAAATAAAGATTCTGACATTGTGACTATACTGAAGACTTTAAGACATGGATAATGAAGGGGAGAGAGCTATTTAACATTAAAGAACCCTGTGTTCAGCAAAAGACAAATCAAATAAGAGATTTTGTGTCGCAGCCTTGATATATAAGAAAACAGTTTCCATGGTAGATGATATCATGGTTTCCAAGATAACTTTTTCTGTTACTGATGACTTCCTCCTAATTCTGAATATCCCATTTTTGTTTGGCAATTCCTCTGTAATTTACTCTCAGTCTCCAAGGAATCTGTTTCTTTTTCTGGAGTTACAGTCACTAGTGAAGAAGTTGATAAAATAAATTAACCACTTGAGCAGTTGTGAGTTATTGGTGCAGGCACAAGGAGGAGCAGTGGATTTTAGTCATTTTTACTCAAGCTCCAAATTATTATTTTTTTTAACCTTAGGAGGTCAGCGGCCTCAACAGAGTAGAGCGGTATCGACCACAAAGAGAGACTCAAAAAAATGTCTTTCCAGAAGATGGAAAAGAACCATATCAAATTTAGCTACAGGTCTGATCTCCTTTTTGTCTTCTTATATAAAGACATGTCAGCTCCTGGAACCTTTGCCATCAGAGGCCTCTTCTACGACTCCCATCCACATACCAAAGAAAATGTGTGTACATTATTTCTGTGCCCTTGTGACAAGGCAAAGATTGAAATCCTTCTGGATAGTGAAAATCCATTAACCTGTTGGTACACCATTCTGCTTATGGTTCAACATTATCAAATATCAAGTTGCAAAACGAAGACATGACTGTTTTCAAAGAGGGTAAAAGATGCTGTACATGAGCATGGCAGGTTTATGACAAGTGAAGGGTGGAAAGAAATGTGTTGAAAAGAAAGATTGTTGTGAAACAGACATACACAGTGTGTGGTCTGACAGCCTATTGTGCGAACTGATCAAATAGAAGCAGCAAAATCGAAACAAGTTAAAGTTCTGTTAAAAGTCTGACAATCCTCTCCTCAGGGCATCCACCCTGCCTACACAGTATATTGTGGATTTACCCACGTGCCTGGGACCTTACAGGGACCCTCCTCCAAATGAGACACATTGCAGTAAACTCACTATTTTCCACGAACAGTAGTATTTTTGAAAGTTTGCATTTGTGAGCATGCATCTATTGATTTATTCCCAGCTAGCACTTCAGTGTGCATGCACTTGCATGATTGGCAGAGACAAAAGCAGGGTTTAATCCACTCCTCTTCATTACTGCCTGAGAAACTGATGGTTTTCTAATTAAGGTCTAAATCCCAAGTGTCATTGGCAGACCACTTGCTGTAATCAGTGTCTGAGCTGCCCAGTGATACATGTATCATACTGATACACGATTTTGCATTCAAGACTACTCTGTCCCGCTGTCTATGATTTACTTGAGACACCTTTTAGCTAGCAGAACAGGATGACATAAAAACATTATTGGCTTTTTAACAGAAGTATTTTAACTTTGTCTGTAATTCTCTGTTCTCTCTTCTCTTCTAAGGTTGAGGACACCGTCTACACTTATGACTTAATTTTCTACCTCTTCTACACCATCCATCCTCCACCAGAGCATGAAGATGAATTCCTCTGAACAGCCAAGTACCTCGCTGAACAGCAGCACCTGGCCACCCATCAGCTCTTCAGGCTTGGGGATGTCCTGCTTCACTATGACATTTGGTGCCGTCTCCAACATCACCGCTCTGGGCATCCTGGTCAAGTCCCGTGTCCGCTTCCGCCGCCAGTCCAAAGCCCCATTTCTGCTATTAACAGTGGCTTTGCTAATGGCTGACTTCGGAAGTCATGTGATCCCAGGGGCCTTTGTCCTGTATTTGTATAAACAGGCAGAGAAGCAACCCACATTCTGTCAAATCTTTGGGGCGTGTATGGTGTTTTTTGGCTTATGCCCTTTGCTGTTGGGTTGTGCGATGGCAATGGAGCGCTGTGTGGCCATCACCAAGCCCTTTTTCCATGCTACTGTTGTTACAGTGACTCATGCGCGACGAGTTGTATTATTTCTAGCCTCTCTTGCATTGATGCTGGCAGTTCTACCCTTATTTGCTGTGGGGACTTATTCTGCCCAATTTCCCGGTACATGGTGTTTCTTACCGATCCATGATACACAGTCTACAGCTAACACCAGTCTGGCTCTGGCCTTCTCAGGTCTGGGCCTCACTGCACTCACTCTTTCCCTGCTGTGCAACATCCTGAGTGGTGTGGTACTGCTGAAGGCCAGAATAAATCCCCACAATGTCAATGCAAAATTAACAGCTCGCTGCACCTGTTGTCCATCTTCCGCGTCAACCTCCTCCGTGTTTTGGTCGTTGGATGTGGAGATGATGGCGCAACTGGTAGCGATCACTGTGGTTTCCTGTGTGTGCTGGAGTCCCTTTCTTGTGAGTGCTACTCTTTTAGATCACAGAATATGTTTCTAGAGCCATTCTGACAGTTAATATTCAGGTATTCAGGAATATTGTAGATCATACAGTAATAGCTACACCTCATCATCGTGAGCGATTCTGTGTTTTCTGCTTTTAGATCAACATTCTTGTGATGCAGTTGAACCGAAGCCCCAGAGAGTCAACTGACGTACCAGATGGGTTCACTCTTCTGTGCTTACGTATGGCCTCCTGGAATCAGATCTTGGACCCCTGGGTTTACATCTTACTGAGGAGAGCAGTGGTTTCCAGAGCTTGCTGTGCTTTCTACACCCACAGACCCAGAGTAACAGCTGATGGCTCATATGCAGGCACACGCGGGCAGACCTTCAGTCTGCAATAACCATGTTGCTCTTGGACTTTTTCTCTTACGGACTGCAATAAATGATTTCTTTAATGTTATGTGACAAATGTAAGCATGTCAAAGTTTGCTGTGTTATTTTCAACAGGGTTTACTGAGGCTCATGTTCAGTAAGCAAAGAATACACAAACCAGCAGTGTGAATAACAGATGGATACGGACTTTCACAACATTTCCCAACATTGATTTAGTAGTCTGTGCCGGTGCTACTATCAATTGCAGCCACCTGCGAATCGGGTGGCTGGGCAATTGGGCGGGGTTAATATTGTCCAGTAAAAATGGAGAAAAGCTTGACAAGCGCCGGCTTGAACAAATGGCTGAGCTGCTGGTGGAGGCTCACTCCCGGGATGGGCGGTGCTTCTTTGGCAGGGACTCTGTTCAATATGGAGTACAGAAAATAGCCTGGTCCACACTGCACTTCCCTGCTCTCTGTCAGATTTCGACCATTCCTGCCTGTCGAGCACAAATTATGAACTCTCCCCCCCTTCAGATGCCAGCCTATAGGACTCGCTCATGTACGTTTGATATATTTCCGAATATAGTGTGAACGTAAAACTGTTCACTACTTCACAACAATTAGCGATTAGCAGCGAACTGTAAAACTGTTGTAACTCTTCAAAACTAAAATCGTTACAGCGTAAATACCCACGACGCTTCCGGGGGACGATTTCGATACTCGATAGTTTCCGCGAAAGTAACAGAGTGACAAGTTGTGCTGGCCGGCGGGGTTAGCGGGTGAAAGGTGATATCGCTTAAGTCTATTGATTCGTAGGTAAGTTGTATGCAATACATGACTATAGAGCAAGTTAGCGGTGCTAATCCGTGTAACCTGCAATGGCGTCTGTTTATGTGCACTGCTTAAATGTGAACTGATTGATATGGGATAACTCTGGTAATAACTTAATCCCTGCTCAGGGTTTTTATAGAGTTGTTAGCCGTGGGTTACCTAATAAATATTTCTTGTATGTATTTGTGTGTACAAACCTGTAGTTATTTAACCTAATGAGAGAAAGCCCTGTAGGCTTCAACTGACGTCCACTCCTTCCTAAAAAACCTGTCTTTCTTCTTTGTCTCCATGACAAGAATGCACAATGCAGCTAGTGTCTCAGCCTCTCTGGGGTCTATGGGACTTTTGCATCTCTTCGGGGTGTCCTGGTCCTGGAGTCTGGCAGCAGGCCTTGGGGTATATCTGGGCACAAGAAGCTGGAAATACTTCTACATTGCAGCGCGCACTGCCAAGAGAGACCTCAAGTAAGTTGAATAATGTCCAAATAAAGCTGTGATGCTTGTGGCTCTTCATCCTCACTTACCTCTTTTCTCCTCATCCTCCTCACCAGTGGCCTGTATGTGCTGTTGAGAGTGAAGCTGGCTTTGTGGCGTTACATGCGCAATGGGAGCAACATTCCTTCCATCTTCGCTCAGACAGTAAAACTTCATCCAAACAAACCAGCACTTATCTATGAAGCAACAGGGGAAACATGGACCTTCAGGCAGCTGGACGAGCTGTCCAACGCAGTGGCCCATTGGGCAAGAGGTCAGGGATGGGTTTCTGGGGATGTGGTGGCCCTCTTCATGGAAAGCAGGCCGTTACAGGTGGCACTATGGCTGGGCTTGGCCAAGGTTGGGGTGGAAGCTGCACTCATCAACTTCAACCTCCGCCATGATTCCCTCCTGCACTGTATCGGGGTGTCAGGGTCACGGGCTGTTGTATTCGGAGCTGAGCTTGCTGATGGTAAGACTGTGTAACGGCAGGAAAAGCTGATCAGGAAATTAGTATTTAGGTTTTTTGTATAAATTCTATATCAGTGGCAGGGTTCATCCCACCACTTATTCATTACATTAATTAAAAAGCCAGACGGCTGCATCGCTATTGCAAGCCGAAGTGAAATATTGATTGACTTCAGCAACAAATCAAATGTTTTGTCTCTTACATCATGTGAGGCGGTCAACATTTCTTCATGTGGTGTCACACTGTTAATCTTCAGTCTGTGTATGGAACATAAACTGTGATAATTACTTTGTCTCCGACATGTCATGTGGTCAGAACATGCTGTTTGTGGCCATATCGCCAGTAAAACGCCTTCTGTTTCTTTTTTGTGAAGTCAGTTAACAGTTGCTTCACTTTGTTTGTCTGTGTCTTCGTGGTCTCTGGTCACTGTATCTATTAAAGTGTAGCATTTGTATTTAACAGTTTTAAAGGTGCTCTGGTATGGCTACAGAGATGAAATAAAACTCTAATTAGTTTGACCTCATACAAAAAGGATCATTTAACGAGGTACCATTGTTACAGCTCATATTTAATTTCACTCACAACATTAGATATGTATTTACAGAATGTCCTTATGCAAACTACAACGTTTGCACTGACCTGACTGATGTTCTCTTTTCTGTTCTCCCTCTGTCAGCCATGTTGGAGGTCAGTTCCTCCATCACCCAGTCCATGGTACGGTTTTGTACAGGAGACCTCAGTGCAGAACAACTGGCCTCTCTGGGTGCTCAGCCTCTTGACCCAATTTTAGCCACTGCATCGAGACATCCCCCTTCACCTTGTGTTCCCCCCAAAGGCATGAACGGTGAGATCCTTTTCCCCCACTGAACTCAACTTTGGCTCTATTTGAGACTTAATCTGTATGTTAATGAGTAGTTTCCTTTTACATAACCCTCTTCAGACTCTTTTCCTTACACTGTGATTGGTTGATAACCTCTATTATTTATTTATTTATTTATTTTTGCTCTATTCTGAATTCTCAAAGGATATGCCTCAGAGCGATTCATTTTTCTTGCGTTGCTTTCTAGTTTCTCAACTGAAATTGCTTCCCAGTAATTATTTAACTCAAGCTTGATGAGGTGAATACTTTGTTTTGCAGAACTTCAAGAGATATGAGTCATTTTGAATTCAAGACAGATATTGACATTTTTCTCTAGAGCAGCAAAAGCTGTCTGGAGTAGATATTACTGTCTTAATAACAAACCATATCCCCAAACAATAGTCAATCTGTCTTAGATTAATGGACCTACAAGTCAGCATTAAAGGTGTGAGTCTGAGATATACCCTTCATAACAAACTAGAAGGCTGTTTTCCCCAGGACAACAAAAGGCTGAATGAAAACGAGGCACTAATGGCATTCTAGCAGTGAATGAAATGCTGTGAAGACACTTATTTACAGTGTGCAAATGTAATACTCTGTTGCATTGTCTTCTGCAGACCGCCTGTTTTATATTTACACCTCTGGCACCACAGGACTTCCCAAGGCTGCCATTGTGGTTCACAGTCGGTACGTTTTCTTGAACAATCACTCACACAAAAAGCATCACCCTCCAGAGTTGTAATGGTAAATGTCTGTGAATCTCTCCTGTTTCCATGACAGTTACTACAGAATCGCTGCTTTTGGGTATTTTGCTTTTCGCATGCGCCCTGATGACATCATCTATGACTGCCTGCCTCTCTATCACTCAGCGGGTGTGTGACAGTACATTCCAGCTCTGGTTCAATACAGTTTTCCCCTTTAGGTTTGCATAACTGAGGTGTGAGCTTTCTCTTCTTGCCAGGGAATATCATGGGAGTTGGGCAGTGTCTGATTCACGGCCTCACTGTAGTAGTGAAGAAGAAATTCTCTGCCAGCCGTTTCTGGGAAGATTGTATTAAGTACAACTGCAGTGTAAGAGCTTATGCTTGGAAAATATTGAGAGGCGCCGTATTTTATGAGATCAATAACTATAAAACATTCATGTTGAACTAGTATTGCCGCAAATAAAAGACTGCTTTCCCTTCGTAGGTGGTGCAGTATATCGGGGAAATCTGCCGCTACCTCCTGTCTCAGCCTGTGCGGCCGTCCGAAAAGGGCCACAAAGTTCGGCTGGCGGTGGGAAATGGGTTACGCCCCAGTGTGTGGGAGGCCTTCACAGAACGTTTTGGGGTGGGGCAGATTGGCGAGTTCTATGGAGCCACTGAGTGCAACTGCAGTATTGCCAACATGGATGGCAAGGTCAGCAATCCACGGTGTTACTTGTGTCTCCACTGATAAAATGTGCATCGGATAACAGTTTAACTCATTCTGTTCTGCCAGGTGGGAGCCTGTGGATTCAACAGTCGCATTCTCCCCAATGTGTACCCCATCCGTTTGGTGAGGGTCGACGAGGACAGCATGGAGCTCATTCGCGACAGCCGGGGCCTCTGTGTACCTTGCCGCCCCGGTAACTAATACATATACCACTACAATGACTTTGCTTACTGTAGTATGGGATTGTTAACTGTTTTGATCGTCTGAAAGCACTCTTATTAGATTCATCCATGTCATTGCAGGGGAGCCAGGGCTTCTGGTAGGTCGTATCAACCAGCAGGACCCGTTACGGCGATTCGATGGCTACGCTAATCAGGATGCAACAAGGAAGAAGATAGCTCACAATGTCTTTAAGAAAAATGATTCTGCATATTTATCAGGTGGCTAATCCTTTATATTCCTTCAGATGCGTGTTTATGCTCCAGTTACATTTCAATAACATTGCATCTTAACAGTCAACAGAGTTTGCTTTAAGCATTTTAAAAAATGAATCACACAAAAGTTCAAAATGAAGATATTTATAGCTCCTTAAACTTGAAAGTTGAAACCCTGAGAATTAAAGGCAGTGTTCCTTTGTCAGTGCTAGTTAGAGGTAATGGTTTATGATTATTTAGCCATACTAGACTAGACATGGAGGTTTTTTTTTTTTTTTTTTTTTTTCCATCTGTCTACTCTAGGTGATGTGCTGGTGATGGATGACCTGGGCTACATGTACTTCCGAGACCGCGGTGGAGACACGTTCCGCTGGCGAGGAGAAAATGTGTCCACCACCGAGGTGGAGGGCATACTCAGCAGTCTCCTGGGTCAGACTGATGTGGCAGTGTATGGCGTGGCAGTGCCAGGTGATACTTAGTGCTTTTAGCATCATGTTGGGAGCATAACTGTTGTTTCCCTTTTAAGGCATATTGCTTCTGACAGTACTCATGATTTGACAAGCGTTTCTCTCCGTGTCTCATACCAGGTGTGGAAGGTAAGGCAGGCATGGCTGCTATTGCAGACACTACAGGGACTTTTGACTGCAATGATTTCTTGCAGAAAGTCCAGCAAGCGCTTCCGCCATATGCTCGCCCTGTGTTTCTGCGAATCTCCCCACACGTAGACACCACAGGTAAACTGTCCTAATATTCCTCAGTTCATAAAAGTTCATAAAAATGTGAACCATCACTGATGATTTCAAGTCAGTAAATATAATCTTTTTTTTTTTTTTTTATCTACACATTCCTGCATAGGTACATTTAAAATCCAGAAAACCAGGCTGCAGAGGGAGGGATACGACCCACGTCTCACAGCCGACCAGATCTACTTTTTGAACACTAGAGCCGCACGTTATGAGGCCGTAGATGAGGAGCTATACAATGCTATAGCGGAGGGAAGAATGTCTCTATGACATGGAGACCATAGCAAGGCAGTCACGGTGCCTCGGTGGAACAGGTGCTATAGAGAGAGAGGATAAAACGCATGTGCTGGTTTTGGGATCAGTCAGTCTCGGTGCACCACCTGCCCAGATTTTAAACGTTCAGGGAACAGAGTTGAGAGGACTACTTACATAGACAGAGTACTGTTGCAGATGATGTTTTAACACTGTATGAGTAACACACCAGGACATAGTGTGAGGGCATTTATTCCCTTTAATAACCTCTTTTTAATTATTAAATGAACACCTCAAAAAGCCTTTGCGCATCACCGAACATAAAGAGGGCATCTCCCACGACCCATCCGAAATAGGAGCATGTTAAAATATTGCAGTTAGGACAGCACGGGTAATATCAAGTCAAATATCGTTACTGGGTATTTTACCCATATATGAAATATGCTGCAAGATTAATTCTGTGTAGGATTAAGCAATACTTGAGTGTGAAGCTATGGAGTTGCTGCCATGTGTTTGGATGAGACTGAAAGGCCAGACTTGAACATGCTGCACACGTGGCTACTAAATCAAACACTAACCATAGAGTCTTACAGCATTGGAAAACTAATCTCACATGTCATATTTGAACCTCTGAACAACACTGGCACGGGTTTGCAAATACACATGCTGTATGTGCCTTATGCGAAACTTCACATCTGTGTTTCATTTTTTTTATGCTCTTCGTGGAAAGGAGCTCAAAATCACAATAGTGATTGTGTGCCATTCAAAGTTGAGGCACACATAGTCACAGTCATTTTATGTAATAAATCTTATCAGTGTAGTAATATATGGGTGTTAAAGATTGTAAAGCTATTTACAGTTTCAAATCTTCCAGACTACATTTGTTTTGTTGTAACTCAAATTAAATATTTTAAAACATGTCTGTGTTTGCGTCAGTCATTCATTTAAAAATAAAAAAAAAATTTAGAGGTGCATTTTCAACTTTCAAGGCAATGAAGTGCTGTTACTTGAAAATGTCAAATCTTTACAAGCTTAAGCTGCCCTTGCTGTCTTTCATTGGATTTTTAGACGATGGTAATTTGAGTCAAATGTGAATTAATGGTCTGTTGACAATGATATCCTTGCTGGCAGGATTTTCATTGGATGCTCTTTGCAGGCAGTGCAAAAGTAGGGAAAGGCTCTGGGTGTGATGACATCCATGAAGGTGTAGAGAGGTGTTCTCTCTCCAGGGTCATAAAAGGTGACCTTGCCTCGGTCCATGTCTAAAACCACTCTTATCACTTCCGGCGTCTTGGTCATATTCAGGGGCTCCCATGGTGCCGTGCAGGCCTTGTGCTCTCCGTTGCGAAACCTAATAGTCCAGAACCCCTCTGCTGGTGTCAGCACATGCTTTCCTTTCCTGTTGATGGACTCGCTGGCTATTCCCACCACCCAGTAGGTGTTGTCTTTCACCTCCACATCCCAGCTGTGGCGTCCAGAGGTGTAGCCCTCAGCAGCCAGCATCTCGGCACTGATGTCAAAGCGTTCTGGGTTGTCCGGCAGCTTGAAATTCTGGGAAGAGGTCTGCACCACCGTAAGATCCTCTGAGAGGATGAAGCAGCTCGCTGCTGTGTTGGGATCCAGAATCACAGGATCTCAAGAGAGGAAAGAAAAGTAGAAGTTACTAATATGGCAGGAAAAGAACTGAACAATAGCACATGACTAAATATTGTTTGAGGAACTCACTATATCTAACTATTCTCTTCATCTTCTCCCACACTTTATATTTCAGAGAGCCCAAGTGCTTGGCCACATCAATCAGAGCACCAGAAATCATCTCTGGATCAAGGGAAGTACGCCAGGTTCTGAGGAGATACTTTACTGGTTAGATGTTGAGAATTGTGTCTGTAAAGCTCAATTATTCTAAAAATAAGTTTGACTGGATGCTAGGTGTGGCAGTAACCCTTACCTCTTTATTGTTTCCTTGTAATTCTGGAAACAAAAATGAAAAGAACAACCTTCACCAAGTGATGTGCATATGCATGTAAAACAATATCTTGGTAAGGTTTGTTGTAGAAATTGTCTATAGCAACAGCATATCTACCTTAAGAAATGGGACATCATTAGATTTCATCTCCTGTTCTACTAATCTGATGGTGTTGGAGAGAGATGTCATTTCACTGTCCATGTCCTCAATCGTCTGGTTAATCATCAGATTCTTCTGTTCCTCTTCAGCCTTTAAAGTGGAAAGCCTGGCAGCCTCCTGCTCTTTCAGGAAATGGTGAAGGGCTTTAAACTCTTCTTTGATTTGTGTTTCAGTATGTTCAACTTGGTTCTGGAAAGACAAATGACTGATGGATAATCACCGTCTCCACACCTAGGCTCTCAAAAGTAACATTTGGTACTGATGGGAGTGACTGTACCTTAACATGTTCTGTCATTTCCTCACAGACCATTTTGGCCTTCTTGTACAATTGCAATTTCTCTTTCAAAGGCAGCAGTGCGTTCTTCAGTTCCTCCTACAAAGTCAATGACAGGGCACCGACACTTAAAAAACAAGGTCACTCTGGCAGGTGGCCAAGCTGTCGGCACAATGCTTGGCTTTCAGCTGCCACATACTCTTCCATGGCAGCATTCCCTGTAAATGTAAAGCTGTACAATGCAGCAGCATCAAATTAAAGGGACAAATCTATGGAGAATGCCCTAGTAACAGCTCTCATGCAGCTTAGAGTCCAGGTAGGGGCACAATATGGCAATCAGTAAACTGATTTGAGATATTCAAGGCTTCCCCGGTCCCAAGAGAAGGCCGAGGAGGGCAAGAGTAGAATGAATGTAGCATCACAGAAACCTTGTGGGAGTCGAGTTTCAGTCCTCTCGAGACCCCCAACAGCAACGGGAAACCAAAAATATAAATCTATTATTAGAATGTTAATGAACTCTGCCCAACACCTTCGCACATGTCAGCATATCAGGTTTAGGGAAGCACAAAGGTAGTAAGTAAATCAAAATCAATGTAAAAACACAATAAAAGAATGTGTTTTCTAAATGGTGGCAAGCTTTAAATTAAAATTATGTGCAGCTACAATCTGGCACATCTTCTATCCATGCAATGATAGAGAGCCACTGAGATTTCATTTATTAATTTGCAAATTGATCAGTCAAGCTAATCAGTTATGATTGTCAATCATCTTCCCATTTTAACCGTGAAGGCTGACCCCACACTATTATTGACCTTAGGTAGTAGTCTTTGAAGACATGCTTCAAATTCAGCAGTGTGACAGACACATTCAATAAATATTTCTTCATCATTCATTCCAGAGGTAATCATCAGGAGGGAAACGGACGGAAGAGTTTTTGGTGATGCAAGGTTTCGCAAGTAGCTGATATTGAAGATATGCAGCTTACACAATGAAAAGGTGCCACCTATGTGAAATATATGAGGTGACCAACACCGTGACTTTAATATGCCTACCTTACAGTCATGAGCACCTTCCCCGATGGGATAGAGCCTGTGTCCAATGTGTGCAGCTGCCTTCCCACACACACCACAGATGGGTTCCAGGTCCTCCAAACAGAACATTGTGAGCTTTTCTCCATGTTCTTGACATGCCTCCGGGTCATTCCTGCCTCTGCTTTCCTTGAAGGATTCACAGGCTCTCTCCAGCACGCTGCTCACCACTATTTGATCCATGGATGACCGGCGCCAACACAGAGGACAGAAGTGTGAATCCCCACTGCCTTGTGTCTCCCAGCTGTCTTTTAGACAGGCTTTACAAAATCTATGTTTGCAAGTGAGCACCACTGGCTTGCTCAGAATATGTCCACAAATTGGACAGGAAAGGTCATCTTCAAGATGAACACGTCTGGTTGCCATTCTTCTTCACGGGGCTTCGATGACAAGGCGGGATCCAAGGCCCCTCCCATGTCTCCGTAAGGCTATCTCATCTTAACCTCAGAAATAAGTGTTAATACCCTTAGCTCCCGAAGGCATATCCAATGTTATGCTGTGCTGCGTTGAGCATGCACATTGCGGGTTCTCAAATAAACACCACACCTCAGAATAAAGCAAATCGGCTTTCCATTTAAGAGACTGTATCTGTACATCTCAGCACAACACAAGCATGACAGTAGGTGAGAGTGAGTAGGGTGACAGTGGAATATTTGCACTCAAGACGGCCTTTTGATTGGAGTTATACGATGATCACCTCTGAGTTATTTGAGAAGAGCGTTGAAACAATCCATCAAAGTGTAATGATGGGTTTACAGAGAAACAATGTTCAAAATAAGTCCGGGTTGGAGATATAAATAGACAGAAGTAACCGATTTGGACTGAAGTTATGTGAGTAAAGAAATATCCTCCTGCTGACCACTGGAACATTTTTTTTCACGGTCAAGTTTAGCTTTGGGCAACAGATTTTTAAGAACTGACACAAGGTTATTTTTAAAATACCTGAGTCAAACCCCCTTCTGGTATAAAAACACGGAACACAGCTCACATTACTCACCCAGCACACCACTGACTGTCTTCAAGAGCAAACAGTAGCATCTTGATGATTCATTTGTTAATTTCAAAAGTATTTAACAGTTAGATAACCTTATTTGTATTGCAATCCAGTACTATATTGTGGGAGTTAGATTACTAGAATCAATGTTGCACCAAAAATAGGCCAAGAGCATAGATAGTGATATAAAAGCCTGGGGAATATGATCCTACCACAAGAAAACACTATGTAGGCCTGTGCAGCTTTAACTCTAGTGTATAATACACTTTATGTGTGCTCTTCAATCTCACACATGCTCTGTTGGGATTCACAGCCAGCTTTAAATCATGCAGATAGGAGGGTAATCACAATATGCTGTATAAATTAGTTTATAGTTACTTTAGAAATGATTATGCTGCAATTTAAAAGTTTTAAGAGAGTAATAAAGCCAGATGTGATGTATTTTTGTGTCTACAGTCCATTAGGATTTCCTCGAACATATCACAGTGCAGCATGACTATGTAAACATCACAGAATTCCTTTTTAGGCGAAGAGGCCAGTAAGAGTAATTCAGTCATTCGTTGAACACATTCTGTATAATTTAGCAAGTGGAAATCACTCCTAAGCAATCCCTAACCAAATAAGTGATTATGATTTGCATCCGTGCCAGTGTCAGGGCAGCAGTTCAGAGCAGTTGATGGTAACAGCCAAAAGCACTTAACAACAGTGACACACACACACACACACACACTGAGAGAGAGAGAGAGAGAGAGAGAGATATCCCATCCCACCCTGCCTCAATTCAAAGGCAGTTTTTTGTGCTTTCTTTAATTCCTCATTTTCCATAAAGTCATTTAAAGTTCTGAGATAAAAGAATGAATGAAACAAAATTTAATGGCACTTTTAAGCTGTGAAATCTTCATATAAATCATGTGTTGAATGGCAGATTAACTGAAAATTGTTTCTAAATGGATGAGGTGAAATTAATTGGGAAAAGACAGATGGATTGCTTTGCTGTGTGGATTTATGTTTTAACACACGTGCCTGTGTGCATGCAAGCATTTCATTGAGATACACAGGCAAACACAGAGATAATGAGGAGCTGACAGTCAAATGTCTACAGCGCATAGATTACTGAGCCCACAGGGAGGAGCAGGGAGTCCTTGTGAAACTGATGTTTTCTATGACTGTTGGCTGTTTTCTGGGTTTAACATTCAATAATTCTTCATATTAAAGTATATCCTACACCCTTGATCTACATATACATGATTAAGACCCACTTTTAAACAAAAAAAAAAATACATTAAACCGTTTAAGCTATTTTAATTAATCTTACCTTACAATCCTTGAATGCCTCCCTTATGGGATACACTTTGTGATTCATATGCAGCCCTGATCTGTGGCACATAGAGCAGACAGGATCCAGATCAGCTACACAGAGGAGAAACAGTCTCTCTCCATGTGCCTCACATGATTTATGTGGAAGTCCAGGGCTCTTTTTAAAGCAGAGAGGACACTCTTTAGTATCATGTTGTATCCAGAACTGCTCCAAACAAGAGTTACAGAAGCTTCGACCACAGCCGATGCAGCAGAGGACCTCTGGAACCAGGAAGATTTCCTCACACACCGCGCAGCAGGAATCGTCCACACTCTGACATGAGATGTCAACCTCCATCTGTGAAATTCAACGCAGCACTGATGGGTCTCTACCTGGCAGTAAGACCTATATTCCTCATGCATGTACAGTATGTACCATGGGTGATCAGCTGCTAAAGTCCTGCAGCAACTGAGAGAGGGTGACAGACCCAGCGCCTCTAGTTTCACATTAAATCAACATGCACATTAAATCAACATTGACATTAACTGCGGTAGATCGGTGTCATTTGGAGCAATGAGCTCTACAACATTCATTCATATCAAGGTGTGTAGTCTTATAATATTATTTCATTTATATGTCTAAAACTTATATTTCTTTTTCTGGTTCTATGTCCTTGCATATAAAGACAAGTTTTCAGTCCTTTAACTTCAATTTCTTTGTCTCCCAATGGCGTAAAAACAGTAACAGTTGCTTTTGATTTGTATATATTTATGTAATTGTCAGTACAGTTAATAGTATTAATAATTAAGTATTTACTGCAGTGATTCAGTATTAAGGACAAAAAAGCATTTAAACCAAGATTAAATTTTACTATTTATTAAAAAAAGACCAACACTAAATGCAATTTTTAATATGCTTCAATAGAGTCTAGTCTGTATAACATAATCCTAATCACAGCAGAAACCAAAATTAAATAAGTTAAATGAATATATTTAGAAAATTAGAAGTGAAATTGATAGAATAGTCTACATTTCGAGCTTGGTGTACAATGAGCCTAATTACTATAATAAATTGAGAGCAAAATATTGACTAGACTGTTTTCAAAAGGCTGCTGGTTGCGCAAGATGTAACACAGACAAGAAAAAGGTCATTAGTAGTAGCATGAATGTGTCTGCTGCTTTCTTCTCTCCTCTCCTCATACACTTAACCAGTATTTCTAATTACATAGGTTTTGTGTAATATATAAATACGGGGAAAAAAAGTGTTTTCAATCACGTGGTCCACTTTATTGATTTTCACATAGGAATGACAAAAGTGCGAATCTTTTTAAGAATGCAAGACAAACAGACACTGTACAAACAAAGAGAAAAAAAAACATATTAGCTGAACAATACATAAGAAAGAAATTGAATTAAAAGCTTAGAGGTGTGTTAAAGTTAAAGTTTCTCATCAGCTGCAGTAACAAAGAAATGGCAAGAGGTGTAAGTATACAGGCCTACCCAGAATTATTACGCCAGAGTTCAGACACCCACAGCTTCAAAAGTTTAAAATCTCAGTTGATCTGGGTCAATACTCTACACGTGAGAATTCTTTTCTGGCTGACATGAGATTAAGGCAACCCTGAGCGCATGCTCTAATCATGCTGCTCAGAAGGATACGCCAGATTAAAGGACAGAAGTGCACTATTTAACACTGAGATGCATATCAGACTCACTTGAAATACTGTGGACATTTCATTTAGCTGCAAAACATCTCAGCTGCTGACAGGGCATGAATGAAACTTTATGGCCATATTATCACCACCGCTATTCATAATGTAAGATGTTTTATGTACATTCTCCAGATCTACAGTACAGTACAGTCTGAAATTTATTAAATCTGTTTCCAGTTTTGTTTCTTATGTTACATAACATCTCTCTCATTTTTAACAAAGAAATGTACAAACATAAGAGTTGTTTCCTGATCATTTATACCCAGTGTTTCTCTGATAAAACAATTCTTAATCATATTCACTTAATACTTTTTGGCTTCAATAGCATCTTAATAATCTTTTCCAGTATAACTATATATAAGTGTATCAATTACATATTTTCCTTCACTCTTTTCCTCTTTCTTCTCAGTGGCCGGAGGTCACTATGGCACAATGACTTCACATCAGCTTCCTGTCAGGGTGGTCAGAGGCACGTCCAGAGCGCTGGTGTCGGACCTCCAGATGTTTGCTCTGGACGCGGTCGAAATGCTGGAGCAGCTCATTGTAATCCATCTGAGTGTGAGAGGCGCGTTTGGAGGCCACTTGCTGTTTAGAGTCCATATACTTGGACTCATCCACAGTCCTCATGAGCTCTGGGTTGGGGACACACCGCAAGCGGTGGGAGAGCAGCTGGAAGGCCTGGCTCTGTGGCAGCAGCATCAGCAGGCCGTACAGTGCCTTAATCAGATAAGGGTTGTTCTCCACATCCAGGAGCTGCAGACGCAGGTAGGTGAAAATGGGGCTTTCTATGAGCTGTACCAGTTTGTCTACCTCCATCAGGAAGTCTACTGTCACTTCTAGATCTCCAAACTTCTGGATGAGATCATAGGCGTGTTTGTAGTTCTGTGTGAGGAAACAGAGTGACACGGTGGCCACAGGGTTGTGGCACCAGGAACGATACAGGCAGCAAAACAAAGCACAGCTCTCCTGAGTGCGCAGGTCTTTCAGCTGGTTGCGTAACTGGAAGAGCTCGGCGGAAGTGAGCAGGATGGTGTTGAGCGTCTGAACCATAGTGGAGGCAAATTTGAGGTCCTCCTCCTTCAGCAAGATGTCAGCCATGGAGTGGAAGATGTTCTCTGCGTGGAGCAACAAACACAACTGCCTGATGATGAAAGCCCCTCTGTTTTCCAGAAGCTTCCTCTCCAGACTCAAACGTTTCAGCAGGTTGATCATGAACTTGTAAAAATAGGAGTTCATACTGGGAGTGGAGGGGGATGAGTCCAGTGCTTTGGAGCCTGTGCTATGCTGCTGTCCCGGCTTGGCACCCTCTGGGACCTTGAGCTCCGGTTTGCCGTCGGTGCTTTCGCAGGAGCCAGCTTGGTCTGTTTGGCCGGCAGGAGATGATGCTATCTCAGCTAACACCTCCAGATCTTTCAGTATCACCTCATCGGACTCATCAGACAGTGTTTTCAGCAGCATGGGAAACAAGCTGTCTGTGTGGCGGAACATTTTGCGTGGTGTCTTGATGTAGAGGTGGTAGAGCCATTTCAGCACAGCTATGCGGGTCATCATGCCAGTGGAGGAGTCATGGAGGTGGCGGCCCAACACCTGAACAATACCGTCCAGGTCCAGAGTTACCTGAGGCCTGTCAGCACTCGCTGGAGTAAAGAAGCTGATATTACTGAAACCAACAGATTCTTGTGATGCATTCAGCATATCATTGCTGTCTGCCTCCGTCTTGGGCTGGCCGTCTTCCCTGGACGGCGACCCTGTGCTTCCACTTTTCTGCTCCTCCTCCTCCTCATCATCCTCAGGAGTCACCAGCTTCATCAGACTGTGATTACAGGCGCTGGCTGCTTCTTTAGTGTTTTTCTTTCTGTCGTCATAGGAAAGGCAAGGCAGCACTGCAGTTAGGATACCAGAGGAATAGGGGAGCATGACTCTGCCCGCAAGCTGGATAAACTCTCTCATCCAGGTCATAGCCGTCAGCTGGATCAGGTCGTTTGTGAGTTTGGTCTCATCTGCGACCTGGCAGTGGATGACCAGAATGTTGGCCATCTCAGCAAATTTCACGCTGGAGGGAGTCTTTTTAATTTCCTTGAGAAACTCTCCCAGCACCACCTCACACGTCTTACGGATCTCCTTGCTGTTGTCCCCCAAGATCTGAAAGAGCCCATCCAGGATTTCAGGGAGGTAGTCCAACAGGTTGATGTCTGGCACAGACTCCAGAACGTGGATCCAAGAAATGATGAACTGCCTGGCATACTGATTATTGGAGTAGATCCTCTCTCTCAGCAGGGGGACAAACGCCACTAAGTCAAACTTGTTGCTCTCTGTCACTATGTCTTTCAGCAGTCTGTCCAGGAGTTCAGATCCACTTTTCACATTGGGATCCGGGTCGGCTGCAAGCTTGCTGAGACCATCAAAGAGCAGGTTGAAGTGGGGCAGCACAGCTCCTCTTGCCACTTTGACTATATTATAAAGGGCCTCACAGGCATAGTAGCGCAAACGGCTGTCTGAGTCATTGAAACACGTGAGAACAGGCTCAATAAGTTCCTTCAGATACAGACCTGAGTCCTTTCCGAGGGCGATCGAACAGGCTGCCAGTCCAATGAGACCCCCCTTACGGCTGTGGGGGTGTTGGGAGAGGGCAAACTCCGAGGCCAGAATCTGGATTACATGCCTGATTTGAGTGGAGTTGTTCTGAGCCACAAACTCTCGCACCAGTTTCTCAATTTCCAAAGCTGCGACTTTCCTCTTCTCGTACAGTTTGTCATTCAGAGCCCTGACAATGTTGGGCGTCAGAGGCGAGAAGTCCTTCTCCGTGTTCATGTTCGCGGGTGTAACGGATCCTTTCCACTGAAATCGATGTTGATGCGCGAGGAAGCAGTATGCATTTATGATCACTTAATAGAGAAAACAACCGTTTCATTAGCGAACCAGGAAGTCTTATAATACAACGCAGCTGACCGGTTGCATCCGCCGGAAATACGTCACGGTTGCTACGTTTATTTGGGTCCCGCTTTGAGAGGACCGTAACCTCAAATTAGCTTCATTGGCAACGTATTCGGCTAATGCATGTTTTGATTTTTATTTTAACTAGAAATTTAGTGTCTTAAATTTGAATCCTACGTTTTCATTTAGCTGGTGAAGAGGGTCGTTGCAGCCAGCAGCGATGGCGAGCCGCCTCTCTTTTCACTCACAGCTCTCCTCCATCCTGGAGACGATGGCCAGGTCTGCCCTGAGTCAGGTCTGCAAACTGGTGGATGATGACTCGGCTGAGCTGCGGCTCGAGTTGTCTCGGCTTTTGTTAGCCAATTCAGCCCTGGCAGAAAAAATTAACAGCCTGGAGTGCGAGCTGACCATTGTGAGAAGCGACGCCCCCAAGTTGTGTAAAAGTTATCGCACCGTGGGTATACAAACTGTCTGCGTCAGAGACGGGGATCCTCATGGTACCTTTCTTCACAGTAACATTAGCTCAGCAGATTTTCATCAGACGCCACCAGCATTGCTCGTGTATTTTACTGGTGTGTTTTCCCCTGTTTGACTTCTCAGTGTCTGGGTCCCCCACCATAGAGGGGATCTTTGGAAAAGACTGGTGTATGAATCTGTGGAAAGACAGAGACCCATATAGTCTGGAGAGAATCACAGACTCACCTCAGTCCGTTGATAAGGTGAGAGGAAGTTATACAGAGGCGGTCTTTATGAGCTTTGAGCAGTTATGTTTGCAGGCGTCCAACATGTAGTAGAACAGACAATGTGCAGGTTTGAGTAGTCCACAAAACTTATAATACATCAATAATATCCATCTTCCTAATCCTCTCATGGAAAACTGCTTATGCGCAATAAAGCAACAGTAATTGGGAAAGCAAGTGTACAGATGCCCTGATATACCAGAACGTCTGAGGCTTGATATTTAGATTAATGGTAAAAATTTGCCTGCTAAAACCAGAACATGTATGTCACATCATGTGCAGCATCTAACAATATGAATCATAAAGGTGAAGTTATTATAAAACAATTTGTTCTACATAGTAAAAACATGAAATAACTGTGAAAAATGCTCATTAAAATCTCTCAGAGCAAAACAGGACATTTTGAAATTGATTAATAGTTTTTTTTTCAACCAGTCCAAACTACCTAATATAAGATATTTAATTTACAAAACAATAATAAAGAGAAAGCCAGTAAATTACCACATTTGAGGAGCTGGGACCTGAGGGTTTTTTTACAATTTTCCTTGATTATTGACTTGAACAATTAATTAATTCATTAATTGGCTTATCATTTCAGCTCCTGTCACAGGAAATGTCACGTTTGGACTTTTTCTATTTTGCAGTCTGTGGCAACGCAGTCTGAGCAAATTACTGTGACTGAGATCAAAGAAGAGGATTATGTGGAGGACGGTGCCAGCAGCTGCCAGCAGGAAACACTCAGTACAGAAGGTAAGAGAGTGACGGAGCATTGGCATTTAGGGAGTACACACTGCAGATTTAGCAGCTTTAGATGATTTTTTCAGTGTTTGTATGTGTATTTGTATTCGACAGAACATGAAGAAAGTGCAGCCAAAGAACCAGAACAGCTGTCAGTCGGTTACTCGGCTGATGGCAGCACTTGCAGCCTGTCATTCGATCAGGAAAGAGAACAGGCTGTGTCTGCAGATGCTATTGAAGAACCATCTGTGCAGCTGGTATCCATCAATCACACAGAGGCAGAGGAGGCCTTCAGCACTCACATCATTCCAATCGAAGAGGATGAGGAGGAGGAGGAGGAGGAGGAGGATGATGATGATGATGTTGATGATGTTGATGATGATGATGATGATGTGCAGTTTGTTCAAGAAAGTCGGCAGGAGCCAGCTACGAATGCTGCGGTTGGGCCCAGCCCCAACAAACAGCAAACATTACCCACAGACAACAGTGAAACCAGCAGTGCTCTGGATAAAGATTCACATGATAACTTAATTGTGCTTAATGTAGAAACTGCCAGAGATCTAAACAAAGAGAAATTCCCATGCCAAATATGTAGCAGGACATTTTACCACAAGGGCACTCTAACACACCACATGAGGTCACACAAGTCCAACTTCTGTAACATTTGTAAGCAGCATTTCCCTCATAAGAACAAGTTAAACTCTCACACCTGCGTGGCTCCAGTTCCTTCTCAGAGAGTCAGTAAGTCCTGTGAGCTGTGCGGGAAGACCTTTGCAAACCCATCGGCTCTGAGGATTCACTACGTGGTCCACACAGGAGAGAAACCCTACAGGTGCAGCTTGTGTGGCAAAGGGTTCACCCAGAAAGGCAATCTGAAATGTCACCTACGCATCCATACCGGAGAGAGACCGTTCCGCTGTGTTAAATGTGGAAAGACCTTCACGCAAAAGGTCAACCTCAACCATCATTTAATGGCTCACAGAAATCGTGAGGGAGAAAAACCCACAGCTAGAAGACATCTTAAAAACCTAATGGCTGAAACCTGTCAGTGAGCGATTGTGGTGCAAGATCAGTAGCTTTACTTATCTGAATGCGTCATGTAGTAATGCTCACGATGATGTAAGGGTAGTTGATGTCATGTTTGTAATGACTTGCGGTCTGTAGTAGCGCTTAGAAAATCAGGAGTGTGGAGCAAAATGTTCTGTTTTTTTGTCAGTTGTGTTTTTATTCAAGCATTTACCAGTTCAGTGTCTTAGTTGTTGTTTGTCTTTACAATAAAAAAAACAGTCATGGATGTTCACTTTGTGATTACATCTTTTATTGATATAACTCTTCTTTTTAAAGTATATATTTTTTCGTCTAATCTAAATTGAAATTGCCTTGAGTATAATATTCAACTCTGACAATCTGAACAAAGCACATCTGACAGGGCCTTGTAAGGGTCATGCAGGTGTGAGTGGAAAAAAAAAAAAAAAATCAACAGCCCAAGATTTCTTTCTTGGGCTTGGAGAATTCATTTAGTGAGGTCAGTGTGGTGTGTTCAAGGAAATCGTAATATTACAGGTAAAACAAGTCCTTACTACCACTAATTGCTCTGTCTAGGTGATGACAGTTCTGATGAGGATTTGTCGAAGGAAAGAACAGAATAAAACATGATTTCTCAAAAAGAAATGGTTAATATTTAGAAAAAAACAACTGACAGTCCCACTTGACTGCACAATGACAACACAACTCGTCTTTCTACAATAATAACGCAACCATACAAATACATTTTCAAACAGTGACACCATTTAGACCTGAACAATCTCTGTAAATCATTTGATTATGTGACCGACACGCATCAACATTTCTTTTAAACAGTCATGTTTTTCAAAGATCCACTTTCTGCACAGTTAAATGCCAAAAAATTAGACATGGCATACGGTAAATACAAAGCATAAGTGAGACATGGGTAATGAAGAAAACTGAGGATTGTTCTTCTGCTTTGTTGTGAAGAGGTAGTTTTGAAGGTTTATGCTACAGGTGTGCAAACAATGGAGCACTTGTCCAAAATAATTTCAACATCGTTTGACACAGGCCTTTTGTGGCCTGATATATATGACACTGAGGTATGTGTAACATGTTGCACCAGCCATATGACATCATGCATGAATAAAATGGGAGGTATTTTTTGTCATAGCTTGGATCAGAAAATGTGTCTCATTTAATCTATGACAATTTCCTTATTAAGCATAATGTGACTGACTTTAAAGGCAAAAAGAGGGAATCCTACAGTTTGGCAACGGCTAGGGATAGACCCATTAATCTGGCAGATATCTGGCATTTTGTGATCAACAGCACAAGCCAGTGCTGCACTCACAAGGCCATTTAGGTCATTTAGGTCAAAGGTTTTTTTTTTTTTTACAGTTAAGTTTTTTGATTACCTGTGGACATTTTTTTTTAATTGAAAATAATGAGTAGAGTGCAGAGTGCAGATCTACTTATGCAAACAGACAATGCACATTTTATATTTTCAAATATTTGTCTGTGATCAAGTGAATAATACATGAGAGTTAAATAAATGTTCATTTAAATTCAGCAATTTTGTCAATTTCTTATTATGATTTAAACTGTTGTATTTTATCAGAGGCAAAAAAATAAAAACAACATAATATCAACATTACGTATTAGGCCATCAGCCTCTTGCTCTCTAAATATCGACATCAGCCGGTCTACTCGCAACGGCTCTAATCCCACTCAATCAAATGGTACACTAGAAAGGGACAGATATTCTCTATACCTTCATTTGGCTGCAGCATCTCTTATGTCAATAAAACTAAAAACTCACGAAAACATTTCACAGCAGCACTGATAATTATATGGGCTATAAAATTTGCTTTTCTTTAATTTAGAAGAGGTACTTGGACATATTGGCACATGTTGAGCTACTCTGAGTATTACTGAAAGCACTTCTTGTGGCTCCATGTGGCTGTTTGTCTAGTCAAGTGAAACACTGGTGGTGATTTAAACCGTACTTGTATGCATAACATTTCCCACAATCCACACAGCTATAAGGCTTTTCACCCGTGTGTGTCCGAAGATGTATGTTCAGAGAGCTTTTCTGGGAAAAACTTTTGGCACAGTCTGGGCAGCTGTACGGCTTCTCCCCCGAGTGCACGCGCTGGTGCAGTTTCAGGTACGTTTTCTGAGCAAACCGCTTCCCGCAAACTGAGCAGCTGAACGGCTTCTCGCCGGAGTGTCGCCTGATGTGGACTTTTAAACTGCTCAAATAGTTGAATACTTTCCCACAGAATAAGCACTCAAACTGTTTTGTTAGCTTCAGAGGTTTTGGCTGCATGGTGACTTTTTTGGTTAAGTCCGTCTGGATATCGTTCGTGTAGTCAGAGTATTCGATGGCGGCTGAAGGAGGATTTGTGTTGTCAACCAGAGTGCTCATTGTTGCATCATCTATTAACTTGTCCATAATTGTCGGTTGTGTGCGTTGTTGTGCTTGACTGTCAACCGTCATGGGGAAGTTGTTTAATTCCCCTGAGTGAAGCTGCAGCTCATCAACAGATCTATGAAGCATGCTGTCCTCCTCAAAAATTCCAACAACTGCTAAATGAGAATAAATGCAGTTAAGACACAGAAACTTTCAGGATTACAATGATTTGTTTAGTTTTTTTTTTAATCCAAACTTACTTTTTCTGTTATCTGTGAAACCCATCTGCTGGCCAATGGGATGATCATCATATGTCTCCTCCTTGACAAAGATGAGATCAGGTTCTCTCTCCATCAAATCTATTGCCTAAAAAAACGACAGTTGACAAACAGCTTTTAAAATAAAGTCATTTGGTCATCTCAGCTTACTAAAAAAAATCATTGCATTGAAAAAAAAAACCCAAAAAACTTACCAGTGGCTAAAGGATTCACTGACCTGTGCTCCCATGCTTGTCATAGCAGGAGGCTCCATTGTCTCTTTTCTGTGACAGGGGAGTTTCTCTTCTCTCCAAAAGTCCATACACCAGTCCTTTCCAAAAACTCCATCGATGGCTGGAGCAGGCTGCTGCTGTTCTGGAAGACGAAGCGGATATGTTATTCATAAAGATTGAATGTGAAGGGCTGACAATGCAGATCTTCACTTAACTGATTTGATTTGGTTGTGCACTGAATTGGAAGTTTATTAGGAACACCCAGCTAAAACTAATGCATCCTAATATAGCAGCTGTATAATAAGTCCTACCTTCATGACGGTTATAATGTTCAGCTTGTGTTGAAGCTGTTTTAGTGGGGTGTTGATTCAACTTCATGGTAATTTTGGAGTCTTAAATTGTATTGCATTACACAGGTGTTTCTTTTACTTCGTGTATATCAATAAGGGTGGGCTGAATAACAGCAACACCTTTGTATATTGCAACACAGCTAAACAGCACCACAAACGACATTCCCCAAAACTGCCACACAGCTAAAGCAATGCCTCTCTAAAATGATCTAAGTAAAAACTGAACATTATAACCTTCCTGAAGATAGGATATCTTGCAAGACCGTTGTATTAGAATAGAACAACTGAATGTAGTCTCCACCAAAGGGCTAGCCTGACAAATATAAACTGTGGTTTTGCTGGGTAAAACCCCCACCGCTGAGGCAGCCTAGTAACGTCTGTCTGTCGACCTGTCTGACCATCCTGACCTGCAGGGTGCCGCCGGCTGACACTGTTGACATGTGCCGGATAGGTCTGTGCCTCCCTCGCCGCTCTCAGCTGGACCTCCAGTGAGTAACACCTCTTCTTCAACGCCTCATTCTCCGTCTTGTGCAGGGACATCTCGGTGTGAAGGACGGAGGAGCACTCATCAGCTAGGTTGCCTATTTCAACCAAAGCCGCCTTCGTCAGTTTTTCCAGGATAGCCGCTAACTGCGTCCGAAAACTCCGGTTTGTGGTGTCGCACATCATCTCGACGGGGAGGCTGAATATTACGAAATTTTGGCAAAATTCCCAGCGTAGCAACGTTGTTGACGTTGTGCCTTGATCAAATATGCGCTATAGCTGTGCCGCAGGGGATTGTGGGAAAGCTGTTTGCTCGTGTTCCGACGTTTACGAGGAGTACCTGAAGGCAGCACAGTACAAAAACTGACACCCCGTTTTCGCATCTTAGTTTTTGACAGTTTGCCTTATAAAATTAAACGCACGTTTAATGTAGTTTTTAAACGTATGTTTAATGTAGTTAATGAGTACGTACTCATTATGCAGAAAGGCCAGTTTCTGAATCATAGATATTTTATCACGAGTTTAAATTGATGGATTAGAGTGTGTACATGATACATGATAAAAGTGGAGTTAATTTGAATAATGTAGCCTAATACATTGCTAGTTTGTGAATTCAATAAATAAAGGGATCAATAAAGTTGTATCTTAACCTGTAACAATACATTTATAATAATTTATATTATAAAGCCTAATTTATTTGCTGATTATATTTTGTATTGTTAATCTGAATCTGCAAAGTAACTAAAGTCATACAATGTAGTGGAATAAAAAGTACAGTACTTGCTTCTGAACAGTAGTTTAGTAGAAGTATAAAATAGCAGAAAATGGAAATACCCAAGTAAAGCATTGCATTATACAGAAGTGTTTATGTTATTTAGCCCACCCTCATTGATATGAAGGGGATAGACAAAATAATAGAAACACCTGTCAGTTCTTAGTACTGACACACAACAGGAGTGATTTATTGATTCATTCAGTCTTCCGAGTCAGTTCAGAAAAGTGTTTTCTTCCTGTAACCTCAGTGTGTATTTGTATACTGTAGCACAATATCAGGTTTTGGTCAGTTTGAGAGGGGATTAGTTGAAAATGATACATGAAAGGAAAGCAGAAGAAAACATGTACTGACACATTTTTATCACATCAAAGAAGGTGATGCACTATTGTCTGTTACTCAAAAATCTGGAGCAAAGATAACTTTATTGATTATTATTTACTCATTTAAATCAAACAAGTGGAGAAGTACATTTGGTGGACTGTTTTAAGTGGTGCCATTAATTAATGTTGCACTAAACGTTGGTGCACCAGATTCACTACCATACATGTTCAAACTGGGATCTAAATGTACTGCAAGGTGTTTTTTCAGATTACAGTTCTTTGTAAAACCCTTGCCACATTTGATACAAACAAAAGGCTTTTCTCCGGTGTGTGTACGCTGATGCATATCAAGAGTACATTTCTGAATAAAGCCCTTTCCACAAATAGGACAGCGATACGGCTTCTCCCCAGTGTGTGTGCGCTGGTGTGTATACAGATGCCCCTTTTGAGCATATCTCTTTCCACACAGCGTGCACCTGAAGGGTTTCTCTCCTGTGTGACTCCTCTGGTGTATTTCAAGCTGACTAAAGCATCTGAAGCTCTTGCCGCACTGCAAGCACCCAAACCTCTTTGCAGCTGAGTTCCTCATGTTGTGAATCTTCATGTTTCTGAGCACACTTAAGCTTTGGGAGGCAATATTTTGCACAATGCTTTTCCCAGCCTCTAGATTTGTGTGCACAGGTGCAAGCTGTGGATTCCACTGTGTTTCCCTGGTCCTCCCTGCTCCAGGGAGAGACGACTGGGCACTCAAGGTCACAAAGCTATCAGTGAACATGGGCTGCTGATGTTCTGGGATGGATTTGGGATGCTGCATCACATCTGGACTCTTTTGAGTTTCTGTGACGGCTTCTCTTCCTGTTGACAGCAAGGGAGCATGTTAAAATTTTGAATATGATTGACCCTAATCAACTTGAAGAAGGCCACAACCTGAATGCACTGGTATCAAATTAAAGTTGCTCTTTACACTATTAGTGTTGCTGGAATTTTGACTATTTAAGACCATTATTTCTTATTTTAAAAAAAAAAAAAAAAAAAAAAAAAAATCCAGAAAAATCCCATTGTCTGATTTTTAAAGAATTTATTTGCAAATTATGGTGGAAAATAAGTATTTGGTCAATAACAAAAGTTCATCTCAATACTTTGTTATATACCCTTTGTTGGCAATGACAGAGGACAAACGTTTTCTGTAAGTCTTCACAAGGTTTTCACACACTGTTGCTGGAATTTTGGCCCATTCCTCCATGCAGATCTCCTCTAGAGCAGTGATGTTTTGGGGCTGTCGCTGGGCAACACGAACTTTCAACTCCCTCCAAAGATTTTCTATGGGGTTGAGATCTGGAGACTGGCTAGGCCACTGCAGGACCTTGAAATGCTTCTTACGAAGCCCACCGGGCGGTGTGTTTGGGATCATTGTCATGCTGAAAGACCCAGCCACGTTTCATCTTCAATGCCCTTACTGATGGAAGGAGGTTTTCACTCAAAATCTCACGATACATGGCCCCATTCATTCTTTCCTTTTCACGGATCAGTCGTCCTGGTCGCTTTGCAGAAAAACAGCCCCAAAGCATGATGTTTCCACCCCCATGCTTTACAGTAGGTATGGTGTTCTTTGGATGCAACTCAGCATTCTGTCTCCTCCAAACACGACAAGTTGAGTTTTTACCAAAAAGTTCTATTTTTGTTTCATCTGACCCTTTTGCAAGCCTCCCAGTCCTCTTCTGGATCATCCAAATGCTCTCTAGCAAACTTCAGATGGGCCTGGACATGTACTGGCTTAAGCAGGGGGACACGTCTGGCACTGCAGGATTTGAGTCCCTGGCGGCGTAGTGTGTAACTGATGGTAGCCTTTGTTACTTTGGTCCCAGCTCTCTGAAGGTCATTCACTAGGTCCCCCCGTGTGGTTCTGGGATTTTTGCTCACCGTTCTTGTGATCATTTTGACCCCACGGGGTGAGATCTTGCGTGGAGCCCCAGATCGAGGGAGATTATCAGTGGTCTTGTATGTCTTCCATTTTCTAATAATTGCTCCCACAGTTGATTTCTTCACACCAAGCTGCTTACCTTTTGCAGATTCAGTCTTCCCAGCCTGGTGCAGGTCTACAATTTTGTTTCTGGTGTCCTTTGACAGCTCTTTGGTCTTGGCCATAGTGGAGTTTGGAGTGTGACTGTTTGAGGTTGTGTCAGGTGTCTTTTATACTGATAACGAGTTCAAACAGGTGCCATTAATACAGGTAACGAGTGGAGGACAGAGGAGCCTCTTAAAGAAGAAGTTACAGGTCTGTGAGAGACAGAAATCTTGCTTGTTTGTAGGTGACCAAATACTTATTTTACCGAGGAATTTACCAATTAATTCATTAAAAATCCTACAATGTGATTTCCTGGATTCTTTCCCCCCATTCTGTCTCTCATAGTTGAAGTGTACCAATGATGAAAATTACAGGCCTCTCTCATCTTTTTAAGTGGGAGAACTTGCACAATTGGTGGCTGACTAAACACTTTTTTGCCCCACTGTACATTTTACACATTGTTGTGCAACCAATCTTGAATTTAATACTCACTGTTTTCACTTGTCCTATCTTGTTCATTGTCTCCGGTGTCCACCTCTGACGGCTCTTCCTTTACAACAATTAGATCAGGCTGCTCTTTCGGTGGGTTTGGAAGCTGATGAGAAAACATTGTATGAATTTTGCCTGTTACACATGAAGGATACGGTTCACAATAACACCGTAACACTGTATGGTCAGTGCAGACTTACTTCAGCCGCAGTTTGCTCTTCGCCTTGATGCAAACTGCTCATCTCAGTGGAGGAACTTATGCTTTCCCATGGGCTCTCACTAGGATGCAATAAACTTAGATTAATACGTCAAGCAGGGTGGAGCTGACAGCAAAGGTTATGATGGAGACAGACACACTATATCTACAGGCAACACACAGGAATCAACAAGCCTACCTCTTTATGGCAGGTCTTGTCCTGTCAGGCTCCAATATTCTGTTTGCTGAGCCGTCCCTTACCACTGAGCATGCTGCTGCCGCGGCGTCCTGTCTGCCCCCCTGTGCGATATAAAGCAATTTCTCCATCAGCTGCAGTTTCTCTGTGAGCGAGGCGATTTCGTTCCGCCCTCGAGTTATCTCTATTTTCAGCATCTTCGACTCGATCTCCACCAGTTTGCTTATTTCCATTACGGCTGTTTTGGATAATGCGTCCATGATGGAGACGAGTTGCGTCTGAAAAGAAAATACTGTTGACATGGTTTGAAGGTTTCTGTGACACACGAGATGCGCACAGACAAGATGCTTCTCTCGGGAGGTCTTAATGTTCACTGTAAAAATGTAGTTACAATGTAATGCACGAGTGCCCACAAGGAACGCGTGAGTGTCCCTACCACAGAACTCAAGTGGTTGATATGGATACACTGTTTCCATCTGCCGGGTGGGAGGAAGATAGCAACCATTCATAAAACTACAAAATCGACCTGTAATATTGTCCCAGCTTCTCCATTGACTTGACAGCGGCAACACCGCTTTAAATATTCTGAGGTTTTATAATTTGCCATTTAAAAAAAAAACAACAAAAAAAAACTTGTTAGTCGATAAACTAACTTTTTATGTCCTCGTAGATACTTAGACTCAACTGACCAGAAGGCAGTGCGGTTTAAACACAGAACGTGATTGGCGGGTGAAAACTCCTTTCAGGAAGTAGTGCGTTGAATTACATTTGCCGACTGAAAATCCTCCTCATGACCAGCTGCACCTGAGATTCGCACAAAGTAAGAAACCCTATTTTTTCCGGAAAACTGTAGAGTTTTGTGTTCAAACTTCAGGTTTGTTTAAGATGTCTAGAAATGAGCTTCTCTTCCTTATATTTCTGACTGTGGTTAATGCAATATCCTGTTGTGGTTCGTAGCTTAATCTCCAGTCCTCTGTTTGCATAGCCCCAGCTACAATAAGTTAACTTTAGTCTAAATAGTTTAAAAGAAAGGTTTTGTACCTACACAAGCATTTTATTTGATGTATTAGAGTATTTGATGAGGAATATTTACAGACACATCATGATGACTTGCAAAACTGTTTGGTAATTGACTTCCTTATATTGCTCAAAATCAGTTTTGTCCTCTCTCTCTCTCTCTCTCTCCTTCACCTCAGTAACTCTTTTATTCAGACAGTGCTCTCATGGCTGGCAGAAGAGTCGTGGTCTTCCCCTCCTCAGCGGAGGTCGGACCGGTGCTGGCCCATCTGGTGACATCTCGGGCCGAGAAGGCCATCGCCTCTCGTGGCAGGTTCACCCTGGGGCTCTCTGGAGGAAGCCTCGTGTCCATGCTCAGCAAAGAGCTGCTCGCCCTGCCACAGCTGGACTGCAGCAAGTGGATGGTTGGTTTCTGTGACGAGCGATTGGTTTCCTTTGATGATCCAGAGAGCACCTACGGGCTGTATAAGGTAATTGATCAGTAGTCTGTTTGCATGCATTGCGGTTACATTTGTTCTGTCACATCAGAGTGAAATATAACTCCATTGCTTCTTCTCCAGAATCAGTTGTTTTCCAAGGTCAACATCCCTGAAAGTGGGATCCTAACCATTGATCCCTCTCTGCCAGTCAGCGAGTGTGCTGAGCATTACACCCGCAAACTGAAGGAGGTACACACATCTCTTACATATAGAGTAGCATTTCTTATAGGAACACTCGCACAGTTTTTCAAAGCACTTGGCAGATAGGCTGTTCCAAGCCTCTTGGTAAAGTTACCACAGTTGTGTCTCTTCATGTAGTCACAATCACTGACTTGATGAGGTTGAGATCGGGGCTCCTTTTTCCTCTTATTGCTCAAGATAGTTCTTTATGACTCTGGCTGTATGTTTGGGGCTGCTGTCATGAATCCAGAATGTATTTGCGACCAATTAGATGCCTCCCTGATGTGTATTGCATGATGGAAACAAAGTTTCACTTTTGCGCAGTACTGCATGTTTACTTTTCCATGCTCAGTTCTGTCTCAAATTTCCCACATTCCCACACAAGCATTTCATGCTTTAATATTTTCCAGCAGAATTTTTACAGTATTGTTTTACTACTTTTAAACACACAGGCCTTCCCAGATGATGACTTCCCTGTGTTTGACTTATTACTGCTGGGGATGGGGCCTGATGGACACACCTGTTCCCTCTTCCCAGACCACCCTCTCCTGGAGGTGAGAGCTGTACTTTAGTGAATCTGGCAGGTATACAGAGAGAATTTGATATTTCTGACTGTATAATCATTAATAGGTTTTTATTTAGGCATGACTTGAACCTTGTGGTCTTTAAAGTCATCTCTTGTAGCATGTCTGTGAGGCAGTCAGGCTTGTGTTACATCATATATTTGACTAGTCGTGGATTATGATTCTCACAATTGCAATTTTTGGCAACTGTATGCATCACACATGATGATTGGGTTTGGGTGTACTCCATATTCAGGAAACCAAGAAGATTGTGGCCCCCATCAGTGACTCTCCCAAACCACCACCACAGCGTGTAACTATGACTTTTCCGGTGGTGAACTCTGCACGCTGTGTGGCTTTTGTATCAACAGGAGGAAGCAAAGCACCCGTTTTGAAGGTAACATTTAGAGACTTTTCTTGAACATACACAACTCAAATTCTCAATCTTAAAAACCTGATATTTCCATGACTCAATAAATCAGCTTAGACTAGATCCAGGCACAAAAGCCAGTAAATATGAGACAGATAAAATAGAATAATGCAAAATCAAAATAACTGAACCACTTCTGCAGGTTCAGGTACTGGATTTGATAGTTAACTATCAAATGCAGTGGGACCAGTAGAAAACCTAACAAGAAAAAATAAAGATGAATGTGAATATGGTTCATACTACTGAGTTAACTTTGCTGTTGTATTGTAACACAGTGACCATTTTCTTGCAGGAGGTGCTGGAGGGTAGAGAGGGTCCAGCGTTTCCAGCAGCCCGTGTTGTCCCGACCAATGGCGAGCTGTTCTGGCTTGTTGATGACCCCGCAGCTGCCTCCCTAACTATCCAGGTAGAGAGGCTAGGCTCAGGGGCCAAACTGTAGAGCTTTTTCAACACTGGTGTGAAAACATGAATGAAGAGACTAGAAAGTAGCGCAGAACATTCCTATTTTCATATGAAAGTGTAATTGGTTTACACAGGAGATATAGTGACATAGGCTATGGAGACATTCGTTGTAATTTCCAGCGTAAGAATTAGCACTCATTAGAAGTTGGATTGTGTCTGTGTGCGTGCACCTTAGTGTGTGTGTGTGTCAGAGGTTTAGATTTATTCAGGTATGGTTTGAAGTCCCCCTACACAATATGTTTTGCCTGTGTTAATTCAGATGGATGACCTTCACTGTCCTGAATAATTAATATTTGACATTAAAAGTCAGTTGTGGTTCAGTTGTGCAACATACACAAGAGTAATGTAGAAACTTGCAGTGCACATAAACTGAGAATTAAGGTTGTCCGATGTCTGATGCTTTTTTTTCTGTGGAAAAACCATATCAGATAAAAGCATTATTAGCAGAGTATTTCTCAACGTCTTAGAACATGTCTGGATTGGTCCATTTTCTTGGCTGTGAATTTTTGGGAAACTTGATCTTCATAACACATTTACTTTGACAGTCCATCTGAATCATACTAAATCAATATAGGCTACTGCAAAGCTGTTTGTTCTGCTCCTCAGCTCTGAGTTGCGTTCACACCCCTTGTAAACTATAACGTCTCACCCTTAAGACTGAAAATCTGCAGTCATTTGGAACTTGGGCGCATCTAACAACCATCCATAAAACGTATTTTCATTAGCAATAAAAAATGATAAAATGCTAATTAAACATTTGCCTTTTGTTTTTATTGTGCATTCCTGTTCCGTAGTCCATCCCCTTTAAGACCACGGCACACCCCACCCCTTTAAAATGCAACTTCGCAGTGTTGTCACATCAGGAGCTGCTGCACAGATTCTGCTTATCTGTCATGACCGCGAAAAGTAAAGAGGCGACTTTTCAATAGTGTCTCATCAGGAGCCATAACCGTTAAACACCTAGATTTGTTTGTGCGTTTTTAAATACTCCTTAATTTATTACCGCAATGTCCGGTGCAAACTTCGCCTGCCTCCCCGCCGCGCTACTCCTCCTGCTCCTGTCCTGCTGCAGCCCTGCCCGGGGATATTTTGCGGAGGAGCGCTGGAGCCCCGAGTCTCCGCTTCTCGCTCCCCGGATCCTCGTCGCCCTGATCTGCAGAAACTCGGAGCACTCTTTGCCCTATTTCCTAGGCAACATTGAGCGCCTCAACTATCCCAAGGACCGTATGGCTCTGTGGTAAGTTTCTGCAAGGAAATGTTGCTCTTCTCTCGCAAGCTAGGAAGCAGCTAAGAAGTTAACTTAACGTCAAGGTCTCAACGTTTTCGTGTTTTTGCCTAAGTTTTCCTACTAGAAATAACTTGAATAAGTGTAGCATAAAAGTGTATTGCTGTTTGCACGGCAGAGTTGTGGAGAGGCGTAAAAAATGCGGGTGGACCCGCAAAGAATGACGGATTAATAATCGTAACAATGCAGAAAAGTTGTACTGCGCAGGGCACATCCCGAGTGAAAAAAAAAGTACCACAAATCTCAACAAGCACATTCACAAGGAAGAATCAACGCAGTGTTCAGACGACGGCAGCCTTAGGTAGCCACAGTCTTCTGGACAGAGGTGAACACATCTGGTCACTGCTCCTCATCAGAGTGGCCATGCATTGATCTGTATACGTGGAGGGGAGGGGACGGGACTCATTTGGCCACGAGGGGAGCTCTATGGTTTAACACATAAACCCTAACAAAGTGAGATATTGTTCTCTCTGCACTGTCCATGAATAGACACACACACATATGTTTAGGCCACTCCAGATCTTCTCCCCCAGCTCATATCACTTCCTGACTACCAGCTAGGTTTATATATGATAAATCTCAGTCCCACGTGAGAGATTTATATAATTCACAAAAACACAACACAGGTCAATTTGCCTGTGTAGCTTTCACTATAGAGCAGGGCAACTTTGAATAGTTGCTTTACATGCTAAGTGATTATGGAGCCTAAAACCTAGTTGTTTTATGCAGTATTGTGGGTCCTATTGGCAATTTCCCAGACCTAACACGATTGCAACACTGCCTGTCATTTGTGACAAACTTAACTTTCTAGGGCAATTATCAAGTGGTTGTGCAAATTGGTGTTTTAGACAGTGTAAACATCTGTCTACCTGGCTTACGCAAATGCTGAGGGAAGTGAAAGGGAGGTGTTCCTCACATAATAACTAAACAACATGCTCCAACAGCCCACCTGTGCTTAAACCCTCAGAGCTCTGAGCAGTTTCCATGACTACCTGGAGGGCTCAAAGAGGTGTGCTTTTCACTCATTAACTTGGTGAACAAGTTTAGCTCTATTAAGGGACTTTATGCGAGTGAAATTGTTAAATTTATCCTTTTTCTATTTGGTGGACAGAAGTGCTTGTGTAACTAAGTTTTGCGTAAGCGCAGTTGTGTTTTGACAGTTCTGTAAACACTTTCTAAGCTACATCTGGAAAATGCAAAGAGCTATGTGATGTTGTAAACACTACATGCTGTTAGTTGCTTTTTGCTGAAGCCTTTCGCAACTGCTTGCCAAAGCCTCACAATCAGAGTTAGCCAGGCTGTCATTTAAAGCTTTGGTGTCTGCAATTAGTCCTTCATTTCTGCTTCACCAGAGCAACGAGAGACCAGATTTAAGTGGAACACCAAATGTAGATGTATGTTTAGAGCATCAGTAGTCCTTGGTTCAAAACTGTGCTTTTAACAAACATTTATTTGAGCTGAAAATGAGGTGGAAGAATCAGCGTAATTCACAATTTGAGGATTTAAGACAGATGGACAGCAGGAGTGAGGGGAGAAATTGTTTAGCATGGAGCTACTGTGTTCTCTCAGATCCATGCGAAATCTTTCGCGAGAATCCATCCTGGCTGTCGTCCGCATGGTTCAAATACAGTACACCACATGGCTAAAGAAAGAAACACTTTGGATGTTGTGTTGTGGGGTTTGATTTCAGTCGTCTGCAGAATGAGATCACACATACAAGGTGTCTGACTCAGGTTCATGTGCCTCACACATGGCTTCACCCAGTTTGAATTATTTCCTTTTCTTCTAATCTACTGCAGACAAAGGTTTTACTTCTGTAATTCTCTTTCCGGTCTTATTTCCTTAATGTAACATTCCTTAAAATGTGATAACCTACACTAAAATGATATCGACCAGATGTACAGTCTTTTCTGTTGTTATGTTGGTATCATTATCACTTGTGTCAGTTCCCACAGATGCGGACAATGAGCGTACATAATGTGAACACAGACTATTGTCATTTGAGTCTTGGTATCGTCTTTCAACTCTTTGTCTCAGTGTAGCACTAGTGCTACATTCAGTCATTGTCACAGTTTTACTTTTCTTGGCCTTGGTTGTCCATTATGTTCAGTCCCTCTGACATCGAATGCACCTCATTCTAATCATTTACATTTGTTGTATATTGACAGGGTAGCAACTGATCACAACGAGGACAACACCACAGCCATTTTGCGTAACTGGCTCGTCCAGGTGCAGAGCCTTTACCATTATGTGGAATGGAGGCCAAAAGAGGAACCCAGGTTGGTAACTTTCTGGTGGAAGTTTGTGTTGCCGAAAAGGTTGACATGCAGAACCAGTAAAATCCGTCATATCAAGTATGTAATTGTCTCTTGCAGACGTTACGCGGATGAAGATGGTCCGAAGCAGTGGACAGACCTCCGTTATGAGCATGTTATGAAGCTTCGGCAAGTAGCACTGGAGGCAGCTCGTGAGATGTGGGCGGATTACTTTATGGTAGGTCAACAAAACTGCTCTTTACAGGCACAAAAAGCACAGTAAAAACTTTTCTATTTTAAGAACTGAGCTCATGCTGCTACCCAGACTATCTTTATTGTTCAATAGCAGCAGAAGGATAAGTACAGAGTTAAGTCCAAGGAACCATCTCAATTGTAATTTAAGCACCAGGGATAGTGTTGAAAATTTACCCGCATACATTTTTCTGTCTCTTGTGGTTAAGGTTCATCTGGCCGGGTTCAAGCTGGATCCATACACTGACACAAAGCTTGACTCAACATGAACCATACTTTAAAATGCAGCTCTGTTTCCATTTCTATTTGTATTCCCCTGCCAAGCCCACTTTGCCTAGCTTCAGTGGGGTATAATTTTGGAGCAAAGTACATCCAGAATTGCAATAATTTTGTGCAACAAAATTGTTTTGGAAACTCTCACAGCCTTCTCCCTTTTTCATCTTTTTGTTTTTTTAATCTCAATTTTAGTTCCCAATTCAACCTTCATGACCTGTTCAACATTTCTTCTGAAGGTGTCTGAGTAGTATGCCCCACACACACACACACAAACACACACACACACACACCATTAACAATTTACCTTCTTTTCTTTGTGTAGTTGGCGGACTGTGATAACCTCCTCACCAATCCTGATGTGCTCTGGAAGCTCATGAAAGAGAATAAGACCATTATCGCTCCCATGCTTGATTCCCGTGCAGCCTATTCCAACTTCTGGTGTGGAATGACCTCGCAGGTACTTTGGTGATGATAGGGTGTACATGATTGTTAATGTCAGGTATTTTCAAAGGGCTTAGTTGCTTTTAATGAGTGCTCTCAAATCCTCTCTGAACTCAACTGTTAATCAACTCGGCTTCTTCAGGGTTACTATAAGCGCACCCCTGCCTACATACCCATAAGAAAGCAGGTGCGTAAGGGCTGTTTTGCCGTACCCATGGTCCACTCCACCTTCCTGATAGACCTCAGGAAAGAGGCATCCAGGCAGCTGGCCTTTCACCCGCCACACCCAGACTACAGCTGGGCTTTTGATGATATCATTGTGTTTGCCTTCTCTGCTCGGATGGCAGGTATTATACCATTCAGTGCTTCAATCATTTGTTAAAGACAAATGTTACACATTTGTCTTCAACATTTTAACCTAAAAGGCTGAACTTCAGATTGAGAAAACATTTTCATCTACTCCTCTTTACAGATGTGCAAATGTTTGTATGTAACAAAGAGACCTACGGTAACTTCCCTGTGCCCCTTCGATCCCATAATACTTTGAAAGATGAAGTTGACAGCTTCTTGCACTCCCTGCTGGAGGTCAATGGTGAGTAGCTTACATTCAGTCTGAGGGGCTTTACTTCTGATTCAGCTGCCTTTTTTTTTTTACTGGCTTTAAATCTATATTCTACTCTCTGCTGCTTCATCTAATGATAACTTTCAGCTTAGATTTCTGTGTATCATTTATACCATTTCTGCATCCATCTTCCCTCTCACTGTGTAGTGCGAAATTCCCCAGTGATGCCTTCCAAATACATACGTGTTCCTAGAAAACACCCTGACAAACTGGGCTTTGATGAGGTGAGTAAAGAGTGACGTGAAGATGGACCCTGCAAAAATGGCTTTCTATCCACTTCTGTGCTGAATGCTTCCCCCTGCTGTTCGAAATCTGTAATCGCATTGACTGCTTCTGCTGTTGCTCCATGTGCAGGTGTTCATGATAAACCTGCAGAGGCGGACTGACCGCCGAGAACGTATGCTGAGGGCATTGTACGAGCAGGAGATTGCTTGTAAGGTCATTCCAGCCGTAGATGGAAAGTAAGTTCACTCTGTTTAACGAATACTTTACACTTATTAAGCACATGGTAATCACTCTTGTCTGCACTCTCTCATTTCCCATTTTGTGGCATTTGTTTTTCTCTCTATTCTTTCAGAGCGATGAATATCAGTGAAATTAATGCTATGGGCATCCATATGCTCCCTGGATACAGTGACCCCTATCATGGTCGCCCACTGACAAAAGGAGAGCTGGGATGTTTCCTTTCCCACCATAAAATCTGGAAAGAGGTGAGTCTCAGAAGCCAAGCATTTGGACATTTATGACCCAGACAGATGGGCGGTGTGATGATAAAACCGTGTCTGACCTTAGATCGTTGAGCGACGCTTGCACACCTCTCTGGTGATCGAAGACGACCTGCGCTTCGAGGTCTTCTTCAAACGTCGCTTGATGAACTTGATGAGTGAGGTGGAGGATGAAGGACTGGACTGGGATCTCATGTGAGTTTGTACTTCCTTCACAGTCTTTAATTTAACCCCGATTCCCATACAATTACTATTGCCTCTCATTCGTCCTTTTTAATTCTTTCTTATAGTTATATCGGTCGGAAGAGAATGCAAGTGGATCACCCGGAGAAAGCAGTGCCTAATATACACAACTTAGTGGAAGCAGACTATTCATATTGGACATTAGGTTATATGATATCATTACAAGGTGCTGAGAAGCTTTTGAAAGCAGAACCACTAAAGAGGATTTTACCAGTGGATGAGTTTCTTCCTATCATGTACAATAAACACCCTGTGTAAGTATTTGTTCCCTACCTTGTGCAAGCACACACACATGATTTACACTTCTGCTGAGGATTTGCTCTGTTATGTTTTGCTTGACATTACCGTGTCCTCCACAGGTCTGATTATATGGATCAGTTTGAAACCAGGGACCTGAATGCATTTTCTGCAGAGCCTCTTCTAGTGTATCCAACACACTACACAGGCGACGAAGGCTACATCAGCGACACTGAGACCTCCACAGTGTGGGACAATGACAAGGTCCGTACAGACTGGGACAGAGCGCGCTCAGGAAAAACCCGGGAGCAGGCTGAGATCAGCACTGAGGCCCAGAACTCAGATGTGCTCCAGTCTCCTTTGGACAGTACGGCACGGGACGAGCTATGAGAAGAACTGCATGAGAGCCTTGGAAAAATTCAGAGGTGCATAGAGCAAGCCACCTTAGTTTTTTTTAAATCATGTTTCATCTTTGGTACTTTGGATTTTGCATCACAGCAGGGATGTGACATCAGAGTTTGTAGAAAGATTTAATTTATCCAGATGTAAGAAGTTCAAAAGGGATCAGGTCATGTTTTCCATCAGGTTGTCCGTTTGTAGTTTTTACTTTATAAAGGCACTAGACTTGCCATTTGGAATGGCATTTGCAGTACCCAGCTTCTGTCTGTCATACAGAAATGAACCTATATATTAGCAAATAATGCAATTGGACTGTTACATTTCAGTCACTGGGCAATTAAATTTGTCCTAATTTGACATTACACTGTGAATGCTACAGATTAATTAGGCATTAGCCAAACTGTGTGTCACTGAGAAAAATCATGATTTATTGGAAGCATTCATGTATTCAGTCAACCAGTATCATTCTAAATCCATTGGTCTCTGCTGTCAAAAGTCCAAGAGGAGAAATATCTGCATGTCTTTTATTTTCATCTTTAGTATTTTCTCTTTACAAATTTCATATTGCTGTGTTTTTAATAAACATTAGCCAACACTTTAAATGCTTGCAGCATATCTTAATAACACAACAGAAACACAAGCACACGGAAGCTTTAGATTCAAGGAACTGCTGTGAATGCCTGAATGTCGTTTTTGCTGTGGCCCTTGTCGCCACTTTTGACTGAGTTGTTCCCAGACTATTGTCGCCAACCAGCTGTTGACATGGTTATAAGCGGGACAAACCCCTGCACTCACCTCAAACTTGATGGTTTGGGAGGGACACGGTTAAATATGCCCTTTATGTTCCCTCAGAAAGAACCCACCCAACCACATCCAAGCACACGTCAGTTTCTACACCTCGCAATCTTCGACAGTTAAGTCTGAGTTATAGTATTTTTTGTAAACACTTGATGAAAAAAACCCTACAAAAGAGAACATGTAAAGTTTGCATCGTCTTGCTTTTACATATTTATTCTGTCATGGTTTCTGCATTACATGGCCACACTAGATCTCCAAAGAAGCTGATTTCTGTAAGGTACTGTTGGGAGATGTTCAGCCACTGATTTTGCACAGAAATGTTAGTAGTGCATTGTGCCAACAAAAAATAAAATGTTTTATTTTTAAAAAAAAAAAAAGTTGAATGTTATTACTGTTATAGGATGCATATTACTATGGTTGTGTGAACATTTTCTCTGAAGGTTGTGCTACTTAAACTGGCTGTGTGCTGTAGCCAGTAACAAAATAGTGTGAACAAACAAAAAGCATGAGGAACCCCTTCACTTAACAAAATGTGATGCTTTAAAACAAATGTCTGTGTGGTATTGTGGCAGAACTTTAGTTTGTTTAGTGTATTTTGAGTTGGATGTCTCTGTTACACTAACTGTATTTGAGACCTCATTTACACCTGCACTGTGACACACAGTGGTGACCCATTTATTACATTTACACATAATTGATTATTGTTACTGTGACACACTGGGTAACCTAACCACTGTCAAGCATGTACCACTTACTTTGTTCTCAGTTTTTATTTATCTGATTAATCAAGCCCAGCTGTTAAATAAAACCAATTGGAGGACATTTTGTATTATGTACGCCAATGTGTTCCGGACCTAGACAGCTATGCTGTAAGACTGAACACTGAGGTGTACCTTAAGTGGGGTCCAGGACTCTTTTAATTATGTCTGATGGGGCCATTAGACATAATCAAAAGGTTATTGGAATGTTCAAATGGAGCCGAAAGGGGTGGTGGGCTTCATTTCACACCTCAGTAATTCCTTTTGAAGTCACTTCTAACCAAGTACTCACTGCAAATATAATGTAAGCGGGATGATAAGTGCAAAGAATTTACCAAATGATGTATTCTGATGTTTAGTATCAGCTATTAGATCAGCATCTGCCAATATCTGCAATCTGTCAAAATACAAACCGTGCAAACCACTTGCACTCTGACGCTACCCACAACAAGCTGCTGAGATCACAAACCTTTTTTTTTGTTTTTTTTTCTACTAAAACACTTCAATCTTAACCTTCCTTACCTTCTGACTGTGGTGTGATAGATAGTGTAGGTGGGGCCTACAGTGACAGAGAGATACACTTCCTCTTCCCGTGGTGGTGAAAATGTTGGCTAACCTCCACTCTAACAGAGGAAGATCATTTTGAGAGCACAAACGGCAGCAAGCTCAGAGCTGCATGCTAGTAATTTACCATAAGTGTGTCAGTGCATATACACACTGCAGTGCAGATTTCCTGCCACCTCAACGGCACTGTTTCTTATTGTGTAGTGCAGTGTGACCTCAAGGGCAGATGATGTGCGAGTGGTGTTGGTAGAGTCTTGCTTAGTGCAGAAATGGAAGATCAAGTGCCAAGCCAGGGTTCCTCTCAAGCTACAGGTGAGCACAAAGAATGTGACATTTTGAGGTAATTTTTGGGGAAGTGTTTTGTCTCACGTCTTTTACAGAATCTGTTGCCCATCATGCTTTTATGTACTGAAACAATGTTGTTTGGTGTTTTTTCAAAACACTTTCAAACCCTGCCATTGAGATGTACATTTCCTCATTTGTTAAGATTATTTTTAAATGGATGAATAGTCTCTTGATGTGTGCCGATTGGAAATTTGCTGACATCACTGTAGTTTCATTATACCACGGGTATTGCGTGTGGGTGCATGCACAATGTGCCTGCATATTCTTTGTCAATGTGTCTGTAAGGAGGTTCATGGTGCTGTGTGCACCCTCATAGTCAAATGAGGACTGGTGAACTTCCTGAACTCTTTTCTTATTTGTAGTTTTATTTAACAGGATGTGGATTTCTTTAATCTATCTAATCCTAGAATATTAATTTAAGATTTCACAGAGATTGGTGCAACAGTTGGTACAACCTCTCATTGAACTACAAATTGTTTGCATTATGCTCGTAAGTTGCTATTTGGGAACTAGCCACAACGTCATTTGAATTCATGACTGTCAAATTTGTTTGCGGTCATTGAAAATACTGCCGTTATACAACAAACTAAGACAGTCAAGGGTTTGTCTCTGATTAAGTGGAGTATGACTACTTGGTTTTGTAGTTGTGCTCAAACATCTTACTTCCCTCTCACTTCTTATTGTTGCACTGTAACACTGCTGGTGCAAAAAACAAGGACTTTATGTTCATTGTGGGACGTGACACGAATTGCAAGCAGGATGTGGTTGACCAAAATGGAGCCATCTCTGTGAAAGACAGATTGCTTTTTCTCATTTTTGGCATATGTTGTAAATCATCAGGTTTTAACATTTTGGTATGCCCCAAGCCAAAAAACAACAACAAAAAAACCAGTTAAATAGTTTGAGTAGAGTAGGTAGAGGTTTTGCCATCAAAATGAACCACATTGTTCCTCATTATATTTTAGTTCACATTCAGTCAAAGAAGTATGCAGAAATGTAAAGGAAATGCTGACTCCAGGGGATGAACTGAAGTTTCATGTTTCTCTCTTCAAGTTTTATTATGTTGTACATTAAGTATTTAGATGCTGATTTTGTTTTGTTTAGTTGAGAAATAGTGCAGTGGTAAAATACTGTAAACTTCAATAATCTCATCATCTCAACATGTGACCAGTAGAAATCAGGTCAGAGCTGAATGGGTTATTCACCATTCCAACCTTCATATTTTTCTTTGTTGTGCGGCTTTATAAAATAAAGAGAAACCTTATTTGGGGATTGTGTAACATGATCTGCAATCTGTTCGTATATCCTCCTCTTTGATTCTCCACAACATCTTTAAAGACTCTGGTTTGGCCTTAAATTTTATACATTTGGTGTCAGCATGTCTGTCTCTTTCATGACCTCAAATCTACAGTGACAATCTTATTATTTTATTTATCTTAGCTTTTCCATTTCTCCTTTTAGATGTGAAGAAGGTGCATCCTAAATCTGAAACCAAGCGATATAGTGAGATCTTCAGAGATTTTGATAATCTTGATTTATCTTTAATCTCTTCGTAAGTATTATTCACTTACATGTTAGTTGTTTGTCTTGTCTCCTGCATCACTCGGCTTGTACATTTTGAATACAGTGAGGGAAAAACACAGTGGTTAGTAAGGTGTCACTCAAAGATGCTGTAAGATTTTCTCATCATAGGAAACCATACAAGATGAAACAAAGCCATAACCCATCATCTGATCTTAACTATCTATGCATGATCTCTCAATACAGATTATTTCAATGGAGCAAGTTCTTATGTAACCTATGCAGCGATGTTGTGTCACCGGAAACTGCTCCTTTTGTGGGACGATACCTGCCCAAACATAATGTGTAGATATTGTAATGTAGAGGTGCAGTAAAAATAAACTGGCAAACCAGTATAAATAAATGTACTGGAAAATGTACTTAAGGACTTTCTATGTGATACTGATCAGCCCAACAACACGTGCAGTTAGGGTGTTACCTACATCTGTGTGGCAGGCAAGCACATGGAAACACAGCTGCACGTAAATGTGAGTGTTTGTATATAGTACACTCCTCGACAAGCCCCCGAGACGTTTCGCTATTTAACTGTGCATGTTCCTCTCCCAATGCTTTCTTCCTGTGCTCAGTGCAGGGGAGGATCTGCTGGCAGACATCGACTCGCAGCCCATCTCAGAATCCATCACTCCAGACAGTAGAGAACTCGTAGACCAACACAACGTGTCTGTAAGGGATATACCTAGTTTTTAAAATCAGTGCAAGAAATTCTTTTACTGTTGCTTATGTTGTTGATGATGTCAGTTTATCTCATGTGTTGCTGACTTTACTGATACGACAAACTGTAAATTCTTGATGCATTTTGTGAGGATTAGTGATTCTTTTATAGAGTTAGAATCTGTTTTGTTTTGTTTTTTTCCAACAGAGTGAAGATGCGTTTTGTTCACAAGTACGCTCTGAAGTCAATAATGAAGCAGATGGAAACTCATCAGGTATGATTTGTGTGTATGAGAAAGGTATATGTATGTGTATAGGTGTGTGTAGGCTCTCCTGTGTGTGTCGGTATAGGTCCAGTTGAGTTGAGTTCCTTGTTGACTTGTTGTAGTGGTTAAAGCCACTGGTTTAATCACCTGCTTACGTTAACATAGACCATGCTGTTACTGACATGTAACATCCCAGCGGATCCTTACTGATGATGTTCAGGAGCTGGTGTCAATCTGTGACATTTAATACAGTATCTCCTCTATCTCAACTTGTTTTCTTATAATTAGCCGTGAGTTGTAATTGCTCTGCTGTAACAAGATTAGGATAAAGGGAGAGGATTAAAGCGGGAGACAGCTGCTCTCAGTTTTTTACCTTAGACACAAGGGGAAGACAGAGGGGGGGTGCCCTAATTACACAAGCTAAGGCAGTAAATATAGGGGAGATCGAGAAAAAGACTAGACTTACTCATTGTACTTTAATATCAGTGCAGCTCAAACAACAGGTCACAGCACACAGTACGAGATTAGGAATTACAGACACAGATTTGAGGACGACAGTGGAAATAAAAGCACAGAAACGTTTCTCATTTCAGACTGTAAATGGGTCTTTTTATGGTCTTTTATGTTCAAGTCCAATGTGCACCTGGTGAACAGTAGTCACTGAAGCTGTATGCCATTTAATGTAATTCCTGATATCACTCTGCAAAAAGACAAGTGTTTTTTTCTTGTATTTGTACATTTCCTGTTATTTAACCAACTGAAAATGACACATTACCAGGGCATGCTCTTTGGCAATCTGTGTCATGTGTTCCATTGATTGGGACTTCCCTCACCCCCCCCCCCACCCCCCCCCACTCCCCCACCACCCCACTCCCACCTTGCAGAGATCCCCCCCCCCCACCCCTCCCGCTCGGTCACACACCAGGAGGTAAACCTCATTCGATGCTCCTCTAAAGCCTGTCACTCCGCAATCTGGACCTGACTAGGATAATCCCCAACCCAAGTGCTAGAAGCCATAGCCACGAGGCAGCACAGATTCTGCTTGAGGGCTGACTGCTGAAAGTGCTCAGAGCTCTCCCTAAATCAAAACATAGAGAGGAAAGACTAAGCGCTGTTGACCTTGGCACACGATCTTGCCATAAATCCTTGGAATTGCCTGTTCTTTCTTGTGAATTTTGCTTGAAGACAGAGAGGAAAATATCATCCTGTTTGGATTT